ACCGATAATACTAAACATAAGAAAGACAAACAATGAAAGCATAGTCAGGACGATAACACAAAAAATTCCAATCAGATGTAACGCATCTTCTTCGCAACTCCTAAGCAGACCGAAACAAAGAGGCAGATGACACCGATAATGCCGAAGAACCACGCAAGGCTGCCGTCCTGACCCGGAACCTTGACGTTCATACCAAAGAGACCGCAGATTAAGTTGAGCGGAACAAGGATTGTGGCAATGACCGTAACCTTCTGAAGTGTAGCGTTACTGTCATTTCCTTGGATGACTTGGTCAACGGAGATTTGCGCGAGGTAGTTGGAGTGCGCGCGGCTGAGCATCTTCTCGAAGTGAGCCAAGTTGGACATCATAGTGACGACGTGGTCCTGGATATCGCTGAGGTACATGCCCACGTCACCCCGAGGAGCAACGCTGTACGACTCGTTGCAACGTTTGGCGAAGCCCTTGATGACATCTGCCTTGCCACCCAAGAGACGCAGGAGCTGCATGACACGCTTGCGGCAGTCGCCAATCGATCGAAGAATGGCGCGTGAGTCTTCAATGCGTGCAGTGAAGACTTGGTCCTCAATTGCATCAGCTTCATCTTCGATGCCTCGAATGACAGGTGCAAAGCTATCGACAATGTCGTCAATAAGGGCGTAGCAGATCCAGTCGGCATTCAAATTGATGTAGTCGCGAAGACGGCTGATACGCTTGCGCACGTTGAGCGTGTGCGGGCTTTCGCAGAAGGTGAATGTCAGGATACCCTCCTTGAAGACGACAGCATAGAAGTTAACGGGCTCCAGATATTCCTCCGACTCCTTGTCGGCTTGGAAGAAAGAGCGGAACGAGACAAAGTAGTATTGGTGAAACAGCTCTACCTTCTCACGCGGCTCTTGAATGCAAATGTCCTCGCGAGTGAGAGGATGCACTCCGAAAGCCTTGGAAATGGCAAACACTTCCTCTTCTGTGGGGTTGACCATATCGAGCCACCAGACGCCGCCGTCTGATGGTGTGTCAAACAGATCACGGAAGCGTTCGCCAGGCATAAGTAGTCCGCCCAGTTCGGCAGCATGAATCGTGTCGTCCAATTCGGACGAGAAGAACGTCCAGCGGTTGGTCTTTACTTCCGGAGTTTGCTTCTCTGCGAAAACGTGGGAGAGACCTTCTTCGGCAAGCTTCTCTTGAACCGCAGGGTCTACATTCTTCAGACTCAAGACGTCGCTGTCGGTCTTGGGTGTTCCTGACTGGCTTGACTTGGGGCGAAGGTCGGAGAAGACCTTGGGCTTTGCAGAAAGATTAGACGCTACGCTCGCTTTGTGACGGAGAGGCTGGCCAATGGGTGTCTTGTCGTGAGCCTCTGCAACAAATTCCTCCAGCTCTTCGTAGTCGAATCTGGTAGTCTTGCCTGTATCCTCGGATACAGGGAAGCAGACATCTTCTTGTGCTGAACTGTGCGCAGACGCGACTTCGATGTCGTTTGGCAGATCAGGGCGCTCGTCACTAAGGGTTGGTCGGCGCGCGGTGCCACGAGAAAGCGTCCGGTTCAATCCAAGCTCAAGCTCGGAACCTGCGTGGCTCTGGAGAGTGTTGGCACGGTCGCGGCGCCGAGGACCAGCGAATGCATCGACAGAGTTAGGAGGAGAGACGGACCGCGAAGTCGTCGAAGATGCCCTGCTCCTAGTCAGGCGCTCGATTGCCGGGTCGCGCGGACGCCTGAATGTCTCTCGACGGGCTTGAGGGCTGTGTGCTAGAGAGCCGCGGCGAATGTAGGCGTCGGGAGCCAAGTGTTGGTCGTCATCGACTACGGCGCTTTCGAAATCGCGTCGAGTAATGTCTGCCTCAAGGGCTTCGTTGACTTGAAGAAGTATGTTGGGTCGGTCTTGGCCCTGGACGCTTGCGAAAGTTGGTCGGCGCGAGCGAGGAGGCGACGAAGCATCGGCTCGTGGAAGAGATGCAGGCTGGTGGCGGTGGTCGTCGAGGTCAGACACCGGGGTGCTGAACCTCGTCTGGGTCTCGGATCTCGGAGTGTCAGTCATATTGGCGACTCAGGCGGCGATGAGCTTGACTCCGAATCAGATGTCGTGTGCTTTGGTTAAGCCAGATTGGTGATGTGTTGGGCGACTTCTTGCAGCGCAAGAACCACAGAAGCGGGCGAGTCGCTTGTGAGCGCTCACCTCTAAGGCGCGCTCAACTTGACGATGGCTTCGCGTAGGGTCGTCCCCTACACTAAGCCGATGGAAGACAGAGTCCGGTAGCCAGACTTCCACACCCTCTGTGGGAATAGGAAGAGTTGTAAAGACGGTGATGCAGTAGCGAATGTGTAGTGTTTGTCGTTAGACCCAGTTATGGTGGCTTGTGGTCGCCTCCGTATACCCAGGCTTTTGTGCCGAGCAAGGGGCGGATGAAGGAAAGCTTGTCGAGGTAGAGTCCCGCCAACTTGGTGGTTTGTATGGATATGGACGCCGTAGCGTCAGAAGGTGCGGTGTAAGGGGATGATTGCAAAAACAAAGACCCCTTGAGCGATCAGTCGCGGTGGTGGATGGCGGTCCACGGGGATAAGTGCCGGACAGATGAAGGGGGCGCGATTGCGACTGGTGATGGTCTGTATCGTGAGGCGGTTGGAAGTCGATGGGAGGTGCAGTGGGTGGGAGTCCAGGCGGACGGTGGGAATGTTGTTTGAGGGACGGTGCGGGACTCAAATACGGGCGGTTGAGCGATGGGTCAAGGAAAAAGCTTGTGCAGACGGAGCCTACTGGCCCAAGCTGATTGGGCAGAAGCGCTCCCAGACGTGCATGTGACGCGTCCAGAACTCAGCCGTTGTGGGGAGTTCGCGAGTGAAACTGCTGCCGTCGATTCCGCGGCCTAATTATTCTTGGTTCTTGCCCTTCGTGCTGGGAACCAGGTACCACATCGTCGCTGCGTCAGTCTTGGGCGTGAATCCATGAGGCGTTCTTAGTAAGGTTTAGTGCGGCTACGGACCCCTGCGTTCCCAGGTTGCCTGTGTGGCTCGTGAACATGCCACCTCTCCAAGACAGTTAGGCAGGACTCTGCGTAACAGTCCCCAGTAATAGCCGGTACCTGCACTGCACTCGCCCTGGGTCGCAACACCACGGACACATATCCCAAACCAGCATATCCAACCAGCATGGCAGACCAGTTATTAGAGCAAGCGCGCGACGCGTTCGAGGGCCAGATTGTACGCGGCAGCAACGCTACTGCGTTACTATACACATTGGCTAACACGAACAGGACTTCGAGGGCCAGAGGCTTGCAGAGATGCTGAGTACCGTTCTGCTCGGAGCGGCTGGTGTATGGCATCCCTCTATCTAAGACGCGGTTCAAAAGGCTAACTGGTGTAGATCATTGCATTCATCGTTGGCTTCCTGCAGCAGGACATTCGACTAGCACTTTACATTGGCCTCGCCGGCTCCGCCCTCACATTCCTCGTTGTCGTACCCCCGTGGCCGTTCTACAACAAGAACCCCGAAGACTGGCTCCCACCGTACAACTCAACGCCACAGTACAACATCGACGTGGACGGGCAGAAAATCGGATAGCTGGCTGGTCGCATGTAGCAAGAGAAGGAGGAAATGCATGCTCAGAACACACTTCATGATCGTAATGGAATCTGATTCGATGATGATAACCGCCTATGCTGCTACTTGGTGCTCTCATAGCCCTTTTGTGAAGGCCCTACTAACGCCGGACGACCGAATGAAACCAAGACCCATGTTTGTTCCTGTTGAAACCCATCTCTCTACAGCTTTCGCCAGCGCTTATCGACCATACTTCTGGAACTCCCAGTCTCGGTTGTCTAGCGGGCACACTTGGCGGGTCTTGAGCCATCGTGAAATGCAGTGGAAGTGGAAGGCGTGCTGCCATGTGTTAGTATGAACCACAGAAGCCTTGTCGCGGAACGTACGTTGCAGATGCCCCAGGCGACTGTGCATTCCTCGCTGGTGGCAGAGGCTTGGTTGGCCTGGCATTCGATGCAGAGGTCCATGATGTGGTTACGGCAAATGGCGCAGTTGTCGACGACGATATCCCAAGCCCAGAGAGCGACTGCGTTCCACTGAGTGATGTTAGCTTTGACCATCCTGCGTTGTCGTCTATCGTGTAATGCCTACCTTCTTGACCTCAAACCGTTTCTTGTCGCCCTCTCCAGCAGCACTGGCCTTGCCCGTCTTAGTCTTCGCCGGGGGCGCATCTGCCATGTCGACGTCCGCCATTGGTGTCTGGTGTATTGGTGTAGCGGGGGTTGCGGGGACTTGGTTGAAGTTGAAGCTCGCAAGGTGAAGCGAGAGCGGTCGTGGGCGGTGAGCAGGTTGTGGCGTTCGAAGAAGTACTTCTCACAGCTTCCAGAACAATGTCGAGTGGCGAAGTGCTGTTAAGGTGGTGCCAGTGTGTTTACAAGGTAAAGGCGCAGTGTGCAGGCGTCAGGCTCCAGCTGCGAGCTCCAAATTGCCAAGACCGGCCCCGTCGACCAACTCTGGGACGACGTAACGTATGAACGAGAATACCGATTATTTCGCTAAACGTCCAAAATCTTTCCAGACGAACAAACGTCGAAACCCCAACAGTTGTCACGATCCCGAGACCGGCGTCCGACAAACTTCCGCTTCCATCATACCCAAGGTGCCAACCACTCAGCCCTACGTCGCCGCAATCGTCAGTGCGCCTTGCCGAGATCAGCCTTGTTTGATCACAGCCACCTCCGCGCCGTTCACCGTCGATGCGACCGACTCTGCTCACGACACCCTCACTCTTCGCCCTAATTCACCCGACGGCGCGTGCCTATCTATACCCCGCGAATCTGGATATGACCACTTCAACATCTAACCTTTACCCAATCCTACCTTATCAGACACAGACAAAGACACAGACCGCGTCATCGCCCACCTTCCAACCCACTTGCATATCACGAACCAAGAGCGTCCGCCTGCGCCCCTCCAGATAACTTGCACTCACCCCATAGCAATACACTACAACTAGCGCCTCACATGTCGACGGCACAGACTACTGCCTCTCCACGCGCTCCTCGGGGCAAGCCGCAGAGCCCAGCTCCGGCACCGCACACCAACCAGGGCCGACAGTCGCAACGGAAACCGCGAGGCAACCGCGCACACAATGGCTACAACCAGAATCACCACAATGGAGCAGGGGCCTCCCCGAGCAAGATGCCCGCTGAACTTGCCCACGCGGAAGGCGCGGCCTACTCGGGTGAGGACGCGCAGCTACCCTCGGGACCGCGCAACATGAGAAAGCCCAACCAGTCTCACCCGTCCATCGACCGCGTCTTCTCTCCTCCAGAATCAGAGCCCGTTCCGATCAACCCGTCTGCTACTCCGGCCAAGGTCCAGGCTGCCTACGCTGGACCTACTTTTCATGCCTCTCCTGCGCCTTCTGCTCTGCCTATACCCAAGTTTCTTTCTCGTTCTGTGCCGGCCAAGACGCGTGCTGGTCCTCCAACACCTCCGCCCGAAGATAGTTCTGATTCTGCTTCTCCAAGTCCTTCTGCTTCTCCTTCTCGTGCCCCGGTGGCCGTTCCCCCTCGTGATGAACAGTCCCCATTGGATCTGCTTTTCAAGGCCGATGCAGCGGAGAGAGCCAAAGGCAACCATGGACGCCCATTATCGTACGGAGCTTTCAACCCAGTGGATGCAGCCAGACCGCAGCACTTCAAGCATGATTCTTACCATTCCATGAACGGCGTTTTCCCCATAGAGCTTGATGGTGAAAGCAAGCACGCGCACATGTCTCCTCCCCCTGTAGCATCACCAGCCTCGCACCGCTCCGTTACAGATCCCAACCAGGTCCCACAATTAAAGGACATGCAACAGCAGGGTAACGGCAATGACGTTATGCAAGACCTATTCAATCGGCTTTCAATGTCGCAGAAAAAACCTTCTGCAACACCGCCTCGTCCAGATGCTCAAGGACCGCAAGGCTTTTCAGGCCAAACACCGTCACCTTTCCATGGAGGCCAGCATCCTGCCCAAAATGCATCAGGGCCCACCACACCGCAGACACAGCCACCCAACCAAGACTCTGACTTTTTCTATGGCAACCGAAACCTCTCCCCATTATTCAAAGCAGCGAAGGGCGATTCAGCAAAGAAACGCAACTCTGGTCTTCGCACTGAGATCTCAGCTGAGTCTCCTATGGTTGGACAAGGCGATTTCCAGGGTTTTCCTTCTGTTCCTCCGGCTCAAATGATGGATCCTAACGCTTTCTCTCGAATCCAACCAGGAAACGGCAACGGAGGCCACCCGAATGCGCCTCGTTCATCAGCACCTTTTGTGCAACACTATCAGCAGAGCCCCAACAACCGCAAGAGGACCCCGGCTCGACAGCCACACCAACCTCGCCCAGATTCCAATCAGACGAGAGGCAACATGCCTGGACCCGGCAAAACTGCCGCCAACGGCCCTCCAGCGTCTGCCGCGAAGCCTCTTACAAGCATGATGTCCTTTGTCCCTTCCTCGGTCGCAGCCAAACAACGCAAGACATCAGCACCTGCCGCTACCGCTTCACCAATGAAAACCTCTACCCCTTCCGATACGTTGTCCTTGGAGCAGGATCTTAAACGCCTGCTTAATCTCAATCCGGCTGGCGAGTCCAGCGTCAGGTAGCTTGTCGTCTTCACGAAATTTCTCATATTCGGGCATATATTTCGTCCATTACCTTCGTTTGTTCATATGGGATTTCTATTTGTTTCATGTTCATGGCGCATGATTGTACTGTCATTTCATTTGGAGTTTACGGCGTTACGAGCGACTCGTTGTCGCCTGTTTTCATGGTTGTAGTGAGCATTGACGGGTACGTCGTCTCAGGTTCTTTTGTCCAGCGCAAGCGTTTCTTTCGTCACTGTTCATGAATGGGTGCATGGACATGGGATTCCAAGATTTGGACACTAGGCGTTCTCTGGCATCACGTTTCATGTTACGGTGCCTAGGCACTTTTTGAGGTTGTCTCGACAGGCTGTGAGAAGTCAGCTTCCTCCGACAATGTTCTGCTGTCCACAATCTGGATCCAGGCACGACTCAACTCGACTACTATTACTACACAACCACAAACCATAAGTAAAAATCAAGAAAAAAAATATAAGGGCATGATGCTCGGCTCTGGTGCTTCTCTTGGGAGGCACAGGGTTTTCATGTCCAAACATGGTTTTTGTTCTGCACATTCTCATGACGGTGAGATGTTGATACATGACATGTCCTTCTCGTTAGTTCATAGTATCGCGTTTTCATCGTGCAAGATCCGTAACCAGAACGACAGATGACATTGGCAAGAGTAGGAGACAATAAAGCCGATCAGTCGATGGGCGAGGTCAACGTTGTCGGTCCGAAGCCTGTCAGTTGCATCTCGATCTTCTCTAAATTCTCGTGTTCTTATATCATCTTCAGCTGGCTTACCGTGGTAGGAACTGGACTGGGCTCTCACTTTCACTATTCGACGTCACTAGTACCACAGACCAGTCCTAGCTTGGAGCTGAATGCGATGTGCCTCACCGTGAAACCTTCCAAACGGTATATGCTCACTCTACTATCGTCATCGCGCACTTTTCCATCCATAATTCCTCGCACCACCACCCACTCGTTTCGGTGCTTAATACGCGCAACTACGAGATACTTGTACTTCTTAGCTAATCCGACGTACTGATTCAACCCCCACTTGTTATAACTGTCATAGCAACCGACCAGGATGAAGAGTCTTCGGAGCAAAGGTGAGCTGTCGTGACACTTTCTGCACGGTATCTGACCGATTGCGACTCCCGCTCTCATGTACCGACTGCGAACGATCAGTGCTAATGGACATACAGCCTCGCACTTCTTTCGAGATAGCCCAAGTCGTGATGAGAAGACCGCCATTACCGATAGCTCAGATGTCGACTTTGACGCTGGGATCCAAGATGCTGGTATGAAGAACAAGCGTGGGTATTCGTTTGCATGTAGGCGCAGGCATGTAACTGACTCGAACTCGTAGCATCGCGGTTCTTCCGGCGCAGAAACGACAAGCCGGATACGCCACTGCCCATTCTGTCTTCCAAATCTTCATCATCGACACTGTTTGCTCTGGTCTCCGACCGTGTAACCCCGACAGAACTGGGCGATAGCTTTGAGAACTTGCCCGAATATGATGATGACGACGGGGAAAACACAAATGCACCTCTACCAGCTTCGCGCAACTCTTCGGCTATGTCAGAGCACGAACATACCAAAGGTGGTTTTAACTTGCATCGACCTAAGTCTCGCCCCAGCTTCGCATTGCTGAAGGGCAAAGGCATGTTACTCACCGTTTGTACACATGTCGGCTCAATATTGACTTAGGTTCTAGGCTCTCGCCTGTTCGGAGGCAGTAAGGACAGCGGCTCTACGCAGTCAACCCCGCCCCCGCCGGTCCCACAGATTCCAAAAAACGTGTCACTCTCCAAGTCACGTCGTCCTATTCTTACACCTTCAGCCGCAGCTCGTGGGTCACACATATCTCATACCAAGGCTCAAGGCCGCAGCATCTCCATCTCGCGCCCTCGACTTATGGCACAGCTCTGCAGTCCTCCTATCCTAGAGAACCCTATCACGGTACCTTTCGAGAAGCGCCCCGGTCCGCCACCTGTTCGTCCTCCTCGGCCAGATAGTCTCGATGAAGAGACGCTAGCTTTTATGCGCGAAAGCGGTACTCGTATATTTCTTCTATCCAGCAACCGTGGTAGCGCAAGCACGGCGACGACTTCCACATCTCGTAGTCAATCCAGTTCCATCGAGGCGCGTCTTGGATTCCCTTCTGGCTGCGGTACTACTCCACGCAGCTGCTCTATTGAATCACCCCTTGCAGCGCGCTTCATGCTAGATCCTAATCAGCGTCTGACCGTTCGCGACAGCAGTGATGGTATGGGATACAGTCGCTTCAGCGAGTATGTTAGATATCGACACGACAGTGTACGTGCGGCGGATGGTGTTGATGCAGAGGATCGGGAGATTGGACCTATTGAGAGGTATGATGCTAGCAAGGAAGGTGACTGGACGCTTGAGAAGCGGGTTAGCCAAGGACGCGATGGGAAGGGAGGCGGCATGTTGTTTCGCGACAGGTGGGGTGGCTTCCACTTTGTCGCTGATATCTGAGGTCGATTTGGCTGAGTTGTTAGTGGCTGCCAGGGTGCACTAAAGGAAAGTGGTGAGGGTGTGAACATGTCGTTGTTTTCATGTGAGAAACACACAACACAGCTCCGCGTCATATGAAGAGATTGTTCGCCCTTCGCATAAACATGGAAGATATCCCGGTAGCGAGCATTGATGAGTAAATGATGGACATTTTTGGCAGGAAAAGCTTTGCCTTATGTTTCTCACTCCTGCGTCGCAGCAAGTCGTTAGATAGAAATTACTGGTTTATGTATGTCCTCCTCTCATCGAATCACTAGCCTGTCAACGATTCTTCAGGATTAGGCTTGCAGCATATGAATTTCCCAGTCGTATTCATTTATCTCGAATATCCTCGCTCTCTGCCTTCATGTTATCTCTACAACCACTGCACTTTCTCGGTTTTCTGACTGAGCTGCACTGCACGGTTTGCGAGGTGACCGAGACAACAACGAGAATGAGAGAGTTTGATGTCGCCGAACGAAGCGGTACACTGTCAAGAGATCCGTCAGTTACCACTTCGAAATCCAGGATCTGAGCAATTCTGAGTGGAACGAATATATAAAGAAACTGTGGAATTCCTATCGTACTGCGCGTAAGGCTTGCCCTTGGAGGAGGGCAACATGAGAGGTCATGGCAAAACATGGTTTCAAAGACTATGTATGATAGAGACATGAGAATGGGAGCACAAAAAAACTGGACTGAAACAGCATGAAACGGACGTATGAACCAGAACGAGACACCGAAAATCTTCCAGAAGCTAGTACCAAAAGCAAGTAAAGTCAGCACATTGACGTTTCTGGAAGATAGAATAGTAGTATGTGTGGTGTCATCAAACGAGGGAAACTACCTTCGTCCCCCTCATAATCACGCAGTGGTATCTAACAGAGCCCAAAGACATCCATTATCAGTTACCAGTCAAGTTCACATCGCGAACTAGAATATCCTCGTCCTTCCGATATGGGATACCTGCCTTCTGCCTCGCCATATCGTTGATCCACTGACCATTAGGCGCGACATGCTCACCCTTGGAGAGCTCATCCGCCAGATAAAGCCATGCCAGCGCGTTACCCACAGTACTGACTTCATCGCTGACGTGGTTGCTCGCGTACTCTGACATAGTTGAGTGGAGTTCCGAGTCGATGAACAGATCGTACAAGTGCTTCGCAACAGCGTCGTGATCACCAGGCTTAACTAGGAAGCCAGATTTTCCATCTTGAACTTGCAGAGGGATACCACCCGCGAGAGTTGCGATTATAGGAGTACCTTTGTGGAGCGCTTCGCTGACCTTGACTTCGAAGCCTTCACGAGTGGAGAGCTGAAGGGCGACGTGGGCACAGGACATGAGTGCGTTAAGCATTTGGTCTGATGGGCCGATGCGCATGATGATGACATCGTCCTTGAACTCATTGTAGTCTCCGTTGAGAGCAGTCTCGGTTTCCTTGAAGATTCTGGTAGCATCGGGATCATCAACGGCACCATGTCCAGCTATCACGAGCTGCGGAATATCTGCAAGAGGCGTGTCTTTCATGTAATTCTTGCGTAAACTGGCGTATGACGCGAGAACATCTGGTATGCCCTTCGCCGGATCGAAGCGAGCAATCTGAACAATGTACTTACGGTCCGGATGAGCCAGTTGACGCATGCCGGCCGCAAAGCACTGAACCTTGAGCTCATGAAGGTAGTACTGCTCATCCCAGGGGTGCATGTGCTTATTCAGGCCATCTAGCCAATCTGTAGTCGCAGGCAGGTAACCAACTTTTTCAGGTGTGACTGTCTTGGGTACAAAAGCCCGAACAGGGTGGCTAACAAAGACGTCACAGTCTTTGACGTGGTTCCAAATCCAATTCCACACCTCGGATGTAGGGGTCCCTTCCTGATCAGCCAGGTCAGCTCGAACTTGGATATGACTGCGGAAGATGACCGGACGGCTAGAAGACTGAGTTAGCACACAGAAGAAATGACAAAGGTTTGGCAGCAAATCAGGCATACTGACCTGGAATCTTTCTCTTTGGCAATCTTGACAAGACTCGGCATTTGAGGATCATCAACAATAATCACATCGGCGCCGCCCTTCTCACGAGCCGAAAGAGGGCCACCAAATTCAACCCAGTGACACTTCTCAGCCTCCTCAACTACCCAAGCATCGAGCTCGGCGATCTTGTCGTCGGTAAGACGCTCACCGGCCGTTGCGACACCTTGGAGGATGTTGTGATTGTCCTTGGTAATCCTGAAGATATCCGTCTTTCCGTATGGAACGTACCATCTGCAGTCTATGCCAAGAAGACTCAGATATCTCATCAGAGCATGTCTCATAAGAGCAACACCGCCACCCTGTGCTGTGCTGTTGAAAAATGCGATCTTAGTCCTTCTATGCTTTAGCGAGTTGGCGTAGTGCATAGTTGCAGCCCCTGTAGTATCTGCCCTAACAGTAGAGTCGTAGCTTTCGCGCTCGGCTATGTGCACTCGACTGTCAAGATCAACCAAGACCTGGCGGCGATGACCCATCTGAACAGGTAATTCGCCCTTTACGTTGAATTGCTTTACTGTCTTCCTGGCCATATGCTCGGCTTCCTGATCAAGAGGGATTGATATCTCGTCTTTGTCCGTCGCATCGGCAGGGAAGATGAATGGTATGATGTCTAGTTCGGTCCACAGGCGTACAGCAAGATGGGGGCTTAGGCTAGCGAGATGGGTCGTCAGAGTAGCACCCATAGGCTTTGACAGATTCTTCTCCCGATAATTGCTAAGGAATTCGATGAAGGCTTTGGCTAGAGCTTCAGAAACGTCCCTAACAGACATTGGTGTGGAGACTCCTGATCCAGCGCGGGATGATTCGTTCGACGAGTTGCCGTCACCTACGGTCCTAGGCGGCTCTAAGGATTGGCTTTCGCAGTTGATGGTGTAGGTTCCGTCATGCAAAGCGATGCAATAACGCAAGTCTCCATTGTCCGATTGAGCGACAGCAAGGCCTGCATAGAGAGGCTGCCAAATCCACATGTTAGCAGAAAATCTTGAGGATGTAAATTTAGTGGTACTGACCTCGACAGCAGCCGCAAGAGTTCCCTTTTGTTCCTTGAGTTTGTGGAGTGCATCAGATGATTTGAATGAGGTGATGCTGAGCTGACGTCGCTCGTAAGTTGACGACTGACGTCGGTGCATATGTGTGGGCCGCTGCTCGGTAGTATCGTCACGTTGGAGTGACATGGTGAACACTAGTGTTGGAGTTGGTTCTGTAAGAAAATGAAGTCGAAAGTTGGATGTAGCGATTAGTCGATTGATAACAAGTAGCAAATAATAGCAATCTTCGATGATAGCGAAGAATGTTCTGTACTGGAACAAAACCACAGGCGAGTGCAGCGCTTTTATGGTGAGTCTGGGCAGTAGCCTGTGACTGCCACGGACATTGAAGCGGCCACGGCGATTGCGAGCATGCTAAGTGCAGCATGAATATCACACCAGGAAGCAGTGGCGATTGCTGGTAGCCAGTAGACCATAGGCCGGTACGGGCCGTAGGATCACGCATTGAAGAGGATACGCAACGTCGGCTGTTAAAAACGGTGAATGGAAAGATGTAGATCACAGGGTGCATTCACCGTGGCGACCAGCAGGCAAAAAGACAGACACGGGAGGATGGGGTGACGCGACGATAGCCCTTACTGCGGGCCGAGATCTGGTGAGGTGAGCATTCCGAGATGGCTTCCAAGCCTACGCGACGACGCTAGGCACTTTCACGTGTGACTACGAATAGGAAGGAGCGACAATTACACGCTTGTCAGCTCGTCACGGCACAACGGCGAAGACGACCATGTTGCGGGATTTGCTGCGTTGGTCTCGATGCAGTGGAAGAGTGCATCCTTTGACATGAACGAGTTTTCCGTGGCTGTCTTGGGCGAATCAGCCGGCAGCACGAGGCGCTCGAGGGGCCGCGTGCCATGGATTTGCCTAGGTACGATTCAGCCGCCAAACGCGTCGTGTAACCATCGTGATTACACGTGAACTAGCACCGCAGATGGAGTGGAAATGGGAGACAGCGTTGTTCAATGTGAAGGGTGGTGATACGGATATAAGGTCTCATGCAACGTAGAAAGCAAGGACTAGCTCCGGGCTCCAACAATTTGCATAATCTGGGCCGCCATGACACATTGGACTATATATGCACAGTCGATCTTCCAAAGACGCTTGGGATTGCAGAAAATGGGCAACTGGCTAGAACACATCGTGGGGGGTTGGCAAGTTGCTGTGGAACGACGTCGTTTGAGTCGACATACAACTGGGGTGCTGATGTAAGGCAAGAAAGCCCATTGTGCCAAAACAGGACAAACACGTGTGATATGCAACTTGGCCAAATGCCCTCTAGCGTGGCGGGAACGGCAGCGTTAGTGCCAGCAAGGGTCCGTCATGATGGGGTGGAGCGGAGCGCCCGACATGAATGGGAGAGGAGATGCAGGCGAGGCCTTGGGACGAGAGGATCGGGATGCGGGGAGGGAGAGTACCACGGGCGCATGTCCCAATAGCGCCAGTGGTGCGAGATGTTGTCGTGGCTGAAGAGCAGCTCGGCGCAAACTCCAGATGCTGATGTTTCCCGCCTGCCGGATTTGAAACGCTGCTTCCTCCGTGCAAGCCAAGCAAAAGCACCAACCACAGACCCACCCATCTTGCGCTCAAACCTCAGCGATCTCACAGCCACCACACCAACTGCACTCGTCTGCATCCCTATCTGGCTTCATTCACCATCCATCCATCCGATACCCGTCGCGCCCACCAAAGGGCCGGCCCCGTCAACGTGCACCAGTTTAGATAGCTCGTCTTAGCTGTGCGACAACAGCCTTGCGACCACCAGGCATCCACACGACCCCGTCGCATACCGCGCCCTGCTGTTCGCGTCTGAATAGCGCACGACGCGAAGCACATCGACAGCTCATCCTCGCATCATCCTCCACGGGCGCGCGTCAACTGCCAGCATGAACCACTACCCTCCCCGTGTCATGGGAGGCCCCCAAGGCAACGAGCCAGCCCAACGCCTCAATCAGCTGCTCGACAACATCAAGACCGAGTTTGAAACCGAGTCGCAGCGTAGCATCGATGCCGAAGGCCAAAGTGAGTCTCCTCCATGCTATTCAGCCGCGCATTGAGGCAGCCGCATTTCGACGCGGAACCATCTCCGGAGCAAACTTTCTGCGCATGTCCTTGATTGCATCTTATTGCGAAAAGCTCGATATCTTCCCATGAACAGCTGCTGACTGCTTCTCCCAGTTTCCCGCCACATTCAGGAGATTGAGTTGATCCGCGGCAAGGTCTACTCGCTCGAACAATCACACAACCAGATGAAAGCAAAGTGAGCCCATCTTTACTCACCACTCAGGAACACTGCTGCAGTACCTTTGATGCTGACTTGCACTGTAGATACGAGGAGCGCATCGCCCAGCTCGAGCGCGAACTTGAAGCTCGCGGCGGCCCCAGTCAGAGCTCGCAGCACCACGGCCCCTCGCAGCCTCAGCCACCTCAGATTGGCCATGGACCTAGTAACCTGTTCGGCGGCATAATGGCAGGCAGTGCTGCCCAAGGTGGCCCGGGACTGGCACCTCCCCCACAGGAGCCGCCCCAGGGCCATGGCATGCCGCCGCAACTGGGAGGTCCCCAAGGCCCACCCGGACTCAACCCTGCTCCTGGCCCACCACAGCACTTTGGCGGCTACCAGCAAGGTCCATCTGTAAATGGTGAGTTTCAACAAGTCCCTACAATCAACTTCGTCTTGGCTAATACGTCGCAGGTTATGGTCAGCCTCCACAGCCCACTGCCTCCCCTGGTGCTAAGCGTCCAGGTCCTGCTCGTGGTCCTCCCAACGGTCCTCCCAACCCCGCGACTCCCCAGCAGAACAACCCTGCTCCGTATCCCGGATCGCCTCAAGTCCCGCGACCAACTCCTCCCCCCAACCATCATCAGCAGCCGAATGCTTTGATGGCGCCCAACCACATTCCTCTCAGCCAGAGCAACGTCTTGGCCGACCTAGATATCGAGCAGTTGCCAGAGAACCTGAAGAAGGAGGGCAGCGATTGGTTTGCTGTCTTCAACCCTCGCTCCAGGCGCGTGCTTGATGTCGACTTGATCCACAACTTGCCACATCAGAGCGTGGTTTGCTGTGTACGCTTCAGTTTGGATGGTAGGTGGGTTGCGACTGGTTGCAACCGCTCGGCCCAGATTTTCGATGTCGAGACTGGTAACCCTGTCGCGCATCTTCAGGACGGAAGCCTTCCCGAGGATGGCGATTTGTACATCAGGAGTGTTTGCTTCAGTCCTAACGGGCAATACCTCGCAACCGGTGCTGAGGACAAGGTCATCAGGGTAAGTCATCTCGACACGTAACAAATTCGAAAACAACTAACGCCTAGCTAGGTTTGGGACATCGCTAGCCGCACCATTAAGCACCAATTCACTGGACACGAGCAGGACATCTACTCGCTGGACTTTGCCAGGAACGGCAAGATCATTGCATCTGGTAGTGGTGATAGGAGTGTCCGTCTTTGGGATCTGGAGTCCAACATGCAAGTCTCCAACTTCTCCATTGAGGACGGTGTCACCACTGTGGCGATCTCTCCAGACAACCTCTACGTTGCAGCCGGATCGCTCGACAAGAGCGTCCGCGTCTGGGACATTCAGACTGGACAGCTTGTTGTACGCCTCGAAGGCGAGCACGGCCACAAGGACAGTGTCTATAGTGTGGCTTTCGCTCCTTCCGGAAACCGTCTTGTCAGTGGCAGTCTGGACAAGACAATCAAGATGTGGGAGTTGTCAACCAACAACCGCTTTGTCCCAGGCGGGCACCAGCCAAGCGGCAAGTGCATCCGCACTTTTGAGGGTCACAAGGACTTTGTTCTCAGTGTTGCGCTTACCCCACATGGTGACTGGGTACTGAGTGGTTCCAAAGACCGTGGTGTCCAGTTCTGGGACCCTCACACTGGTGTCGCGCAACTCATGTTGCAAGGACACAAGAACTCAGGTACGTATGAGATGGCTTCAAGGCTTGCACAAGTCGCTAACAAAGTTCCTCCAGTCATCTCTGTAGCCCCTAGCCCCACAGGAGGCGTTTTCGCTACCGGCAGTGGTGACATGCGTGCGCGTATCTGGAGATTCGACAGATATCCCGGACCTTAGGCCAGTCATGGTTCTGAAGTCAGTCACGATACGTCAGGGTCATGGGAAGATTCTGAGGACGAGCAACTTCTGTGCAAGATAGAGTCCATTGATAGCCCATAGGGAGACGACTGGGCGGTTGGGGAAAACAGGCAAAGGAGCACGAGGACAATTGCGTTGTTTTCTTATTCTTTCGTGTTGGTTTGATGAAATCAGGCCTCTATTAGGTATTACTTTGATTCCCAATTTCCTTTACTATAGTGAATGCCGTTGGTGTCATGATTCGATACTGCTGCTTGAGTGTAAAATGTTGTACTATGTGATTCCAATTTCAGCTTTACATCTTTGGAGTGCCCGCCCTGTCAGATTGAAATACGCATCGGATTGAATTTGCAATGTACATGTAATGGAATATATGAGTCTGAGAGATGAAATAGCGGTGACTGCTTTTCATCATGACTCATGCCATACTACGCTATGCACCAGGCGAACAAAGTCGCTAGCCAGTATTTCCAAAGACGAGTCAAACGCCATGAATGCTTCTTTCCCATCCGTCTACTAGTAGAATCAAACATTACTCGGACCTGGGCCTTTGCCTTGATCGAGCAGCAGATGCGGCTTGAGGAAGCCGTCGTCAATCTGCTTGAAAGCGTTCGCAGGATCGTGACTGATCTCGTTGAACAGCTGCTTCACTGCACCTGTGGCAGTTGCGACCCTACTCGACCCCTCTGCAGCACCGACCGGCCTTATGCCTGACGTCGGGTATGGAGATGGGTCGCTCAGTAATGGTGACGGACCGCGGTTGGGCGAGCGTCGTGCGCTAGGTGGAAGGTCAAGATCGATGTCATCCTCGTCAGCCGAACCACTATCAGCGGGGCTGAGTAGGTTTTGGTCTGCGCCGTCTTTGGCACGTGGATGGCTCGAATTACGTCGCATAGCGCCGTTAGGTCGTGTTGGTGGGCTGCTCCGACTAGCTGATCCACTTGAGTAGGTAGCGTCTGGCCCGTTGACATTATTGAGTGAAAAGCCATTTTGGTTCAGGCGTGGAGTGTTTCCATAAGCTTGGCCCTGTTTGCGTGTGTAAGTGCCGCCATTAACGACCTCGATATCGAACTCGTCATCACTGTCAATTTCTTCAACTACACCAGTACGGATGCCTAGGATTTCTAGCATACGCGCAGTGGTGCCTCCAAAGATGATGACAGTCAAGACGACTACAACGAGAACTGTGGCTCGCAGAGTATCGCCATTGTTACCTGTGAGCCCTGCGGCAAGTGCAACACCTACAGCACCACGTAGACCTGCCCAATAGATCATAACCTGGTGGGAATAAGGAATCTCCTCTACGAGCTCGTCACCACGACGGCGCTGGCGATATCTGGTGACGGAGTTGATAAGCCTTGAAAGTGGAAATACTGCACACCAACGAGCGGCGCAAATGCCAAAGACGGTGATGAGAATAAAAAGTGGCTTGTAGTCCAGCTTGTCGTCAGTGAACAGAGACAAGCCCAGATAAATGAAGATGAAGTTCTCCGAGATCTGCGAGGTAACCTGAAAGACGAACTTGGTGGTTAATTGTGTTCGTCTTGACATATTGTGGTAGGCATAATGCTTCAAGCAGATTCCACAAAACAGAAGAGAAACGATGCCTATAGAACGGTTAGCTGACGGCCGTACTGACTGGAGGGTAATACTGACCGGACATGTGGATGGCGTTGGACAGAAAGTAAGTCAAGTACGCGGTAAGGATGATGAGACAACTCTCAGTCTTGGGGAATCGCCTAACATAGGTGAACTTGAGCATCAGAGATACGCCAATGCCGACCATGACACCAATAAACAGACTTCCGAAGAAGACGCCCATAAAGATACCTATGGCTTCAAAGAGGCTACCGATGCCGAGGTGTTCGGCGCCGTCTTTGTATTTCTGGGCTGTCTCAAAGACGACGATGGCGATGGCATCGTTGAGAATAGACTCGCCGAAGATCAGAGTATATAGCTTTGGTTCTACCTTGTAAGTGTCGAAGATGGCGAGAATGGTTACGGGGTCGGTGGCCGAAAGCGTGGCGCCAACGGACATGGCCTCGACAAAGTTGATTTTGAAGCCATCGAGAGGTATCCTAGTCCACAGGAACAGAATGACGCCGAGGACTACGGCGGAGATGAAGGAGCCAGCGAAGGCAAAGGTGAGGATAGTTCCAATGTGTCGGAAAAAATTCCCTTGATGCAATTCGTAGCCAGCTGAGAGGATAATGGGAGGCAGCAGTAAGTTGAAGAACATCTGATAGTCGAAACTGACGACATCTCGCACGGAACTGACTGCTGTCAGGCGCAGCAGCAGGCCAACGACCATTCCTGAAGGGCGTTAGCGAGGATCATAGCGCGATCACATTACGAGATGGACTAGGCGACATGGCAGGGTGGATATGTGCAGATTACCCCACAATTAGTCGGGTGATGGGCTTCAGGCTGCAAGTGATCGGATTTTGTGGCCTTGCCCATGCGCACTACGCCGAGCTTGTCTCAACGGATGCCAAGCTTGCGGAAAGGCCCAAGCAGGCGTCGAGGGTGGTGTGGGCACAAATAACGTACCGGCAAAAATGGAGAGGACCGTCTCATGGACCGCCTGGATCTTGCGCGTGTGTAGGATGTAGCTGGTGAAGAGGGCTATTATGAGGAGGATGATCAGAATGGACAGGGCCCATGATGTGAATATCTCCTTCTGGCCCGCCTCTGGCTCGTCTGTTGGGGCGCATTAGAGATGGGATCGCCGAGTGTGTGGTGGAGCGGGGAACTGACCGTCCGGGTCTGCGTCGGATGCATCGCGCTCTGCGGCCAACAGTCAGTACGTGGACGGGGGGCATTTCTGGAAGCTTCGAGGGCGCATACTGAGTAGCTGGCCGACTGCCCACCACCCCATTACTGACGCCATGGTGGACTCAAGGCCAGGCTGTCATCAACAGCGGAATCGTGTGCGGTGTCGCTGGACGTGTGCGCGGGGGGAGCTGCGTGTCTGTCGAGGGTACGGGTAGCTGTTTGGTGGTGGTGGTGGAGGATAGGATGCTGGGATGCCACCTGGGCTGCCTGGATGGAACGGAGCAACCTGAGGCAACGTTGCGCAAGGAGTCGTCGGTCGGCGGGTGCTCCGGTCACGGCGGCGGACTGGCAGCGTGGGATGCAGCGACGGCAGGGCGGTGCGATGCGATGCGATGCGAGGCTGGCGACGTGCCAACGGTATTCACTTGTCGGAGCTCCTGATAGACGCGTCGCTGCCTTTCCACCCCGTCCAGCTGTCTCCATGTCTCGGCATGGCGTTCCAGCGAGCGCCAATCAGCTTGCGGCCTAGCGCCATGGACAAGGGTCCTGAACCGCTGATGCGACGACGTCATCGCACGCACACTGGCTAAGACGCCTGCATGACATCTACCTAGAATCACCTGCAAGACCTGCTAGACCCTTCACCAAGCCTCTCCGAGGACGGCTGGCAGACGCATGACCTACACCGCCTCTTGCTAAATCGTGACTCCCTGGCCGTTGTTATACCTGCCGTCGTCCCGCCCCCTCCATCCTGCCTTTGAAGTAGTAGCACCCCCCCGATTGTGAACTCTGGTCGAGATTCGAGATCGATCGCCGCCCCAAGCACCAACCGTTCCACTAGCGGCTCCTTCACGGTCAAAGAGCATGGATTAAGTCCCGCCGCGCCACTTGACTTTTGTTGGTAGCCCTGCCTCTCACCACATCTCTCCACCTCTGCATCTCACAGTTACCCACCGTTGCTCCTGCCAATCACAGTCTCGCCGGCCCTTACAGCGAGCCCGTAAGCCACCAGGGCTGAACCACGTCGCACCCGCAGCCCACAGCAAGCACCACGCCCGTCGCGACTGCCACCCGTGCCAGCATGTCGTCTTCACGGCCTGACGGCGGGGACTCGCCCTCGTCGTCACCTCTTTCCTCTCCTCCCTCTAAAATCGACACTTCAACTCGCCCCCGGCCACGACCCAAGCTCGTTTCTTTTGGCCGCGACTCGCTCATGGGCGGACGGCCAGACACTGAGGGCCACACCCACGTAGAATTCATCCACGAGAACTCGCCCACCATTATCCCCCAGAGAATGTCTTCCGAAGTCGATCCGCTCCTTAAGGAGGCTTTGTCGCCTGACGACGACGACGACTGGTTGGGCGAACAACAGGTCGAGGAGACCAAGAGCAGTTGGTTCCTGTTCTTGCTCACCTTTGGTGGCCTGGGCCTGCAAATAGGATGGTCTGTAGAGACCTCCAATGGATCCGTAAGTGCTTTTTCTGGAAGCGAATCTTCTCGAGGACGACATGGACCCTGCATGTAGATCCGGCCCATGAGGGCCCTTGGGCGTACTGTCACTGAGGTTGTGTGAGCCATGCATGCATGATCCGTCGGACCACCGCAGCTTGTTTTCATGTGCGAAATATGCTAACCATGTATACAGCCGTACCTACTCTCACTCGGTTTGAGCAAGTCGATGCTTGCCCTCGTGTGGATTGCCGGCCCGCTCTCCGGTGTGCTCGTGCAACCCTATGTCGGTCTCAAGAGTGACAACTGCCGTCTGCGCTGGGGAAAGCGGAGGCCTTTCATCATCGGCGGTGCCGCTGCAACCATCGTGTCCCTCATGGTCCTCGCTTGGGCAAGGGAAATCATCGGTGGCTTTCTAGGCCTCTTCGGTGCTGACCCAGAGTCAAATGGTGTCAAGACATGCATCATGCTGTTCGCCGTCTTGTTCGTATACGTGCTGGATTTCGCTATCAACGTCATCCAAGCCGGTGTACGAGCATACATCGTCGATGTAGCACCCACTCATCAACAAGAGTCTGCCAATGCATGGCTCATGCGCTCTGCTGGTATTGGCAATATTTTGGGCTACCTGGCAGGTTATATCAACCTACCAGACTACCTTCCCTGGCTCGGTGGCACACAGTTCAAGGTCCTGTGTGCTATCGCCTCCTTTGTCATGATCCTCACGGTCGGCATCAGTTGCTCAACCTGCTCGGAACGCGATCCTCAATTCGACACTGCACCAGCTGAGCAGAAGGAAGGTGTCATCGCTTTCTTCAAGGGTCTCGCGCGCTCAGTCAAGAAACTGCCTCCCCAGATCAAGAAGGTCTGCGCCGTTCAATTCTTCGCTTGGATTGGATGGTTCCCGTTCCTCTTCTACATTACCACCTACGTTGGCGAGATTTATGCCGATCCCTACTTTGAGGAGAACCCCCATCTACCGGATGCTAAAATTGATGAGATTCTGGAGAATGGTACGAGAATTGGCACCAGAGCCCTGCTGATTTTTGCCATCACCACATTCTTCGCCTCCGTCTTCCTGCCATTCGTCATTCCCCCAACATTCCAAGCCCCAGAACCCGACCGCCCGATAACACCGGCAACGCCAATGACACCGACGACACCACACTCTATGGGTGGCTCCGGCTACTTTGCCCTGGGGCCCGCCCCCAAGAGGGACTCGAACACATTCATGGACAAAATATCTAGGTCAATGGAGATGATGCAGGTTAAGTCGCTTACCCTTCGTCGATCTTGGTTCATATCGCACATCCTCTTCACTGTACTTATGGCCCTTACCTTCTTCGTTCGTAGCACGTGGGGAGCGACTGTCCTTGTCGGTGCTATTGGCATTCCTTGGTGTGTCACCAATTGGGCGCCATTTGCCATCATTTCTTCCGAGATCTCCAAGAGAGATGCCATCCGCCGTGGTATCATCAAGCCTCGTGACCGCGAATCACAGCTCATCGCCGAGGGCGAGGATGACGGTTCAGGCGCCGATTCTGCCGGTGTCGTTCTGGGAATTCACAACGTCGCCATCGCAGCACCGCAGGTCATCGCCACACTTGTGAGCGCCATTATGTTCAAGCTTCTACAAAAGCCCAGAGGGACAGCAGGCGATACAAGTGTGGCATGGGTGCTGCGCTTTGGTGGTGTCTGTGCCCTAGTTGCTGCATGGTTGACATTGCAGGTCAACGAAGAAAAGGAGGAAGAGGAGGAGGAAGAACCTTTCAGGAGGAGGCGGATGTCTTAGGACGACTCCGACGATCAGTCTGTTTCACGCCTAAGACAGGATCTGGAGCTGTCGCTAAGCCGACAGCACTCGTCCACCGAAGGAACATTGAGTTCACAAGACGATGGCATTGATGTTAGAATCGAGATCAATTAACATGAACGGACAGCACACGCTACACTACATGAAGAGCCTCGCGGCTTGACTCTAGCGTTATACAGGACCGGCCTGGATTGTGATGCATCTTGAGGCGAAACCAAGGCGTTTTTTTTTTGGAATCTGAGCGAGCGAGCGAGCATAGCTTTGTTTCGTGAGCGCACACGCGGAGTTTTGGGACGTACATATGGGTTGGCAAAGGGAAAAATCAACTTGGCGCACTCCTTTAGGTAAACCTCATCTTGCTAGGTAAACACTGGCACATTTAGAGAGCGGTGGAATGATATCACGTTAACTCTGACACCACGCTACCAAGACCTGACTATAACAGGATGTTAGACCGGCTTGTTTTTGCTTCACAGACTGACATTAGAAGATAAAAAGGACGGTGCTGATCAAACAGAAGTTCGATATAGGTTTTTGGGACTATGCTAATATATAGACAGTTGAAGCGAAGTTCTCAAATGATACTTTTGCTTTGCGAGTTTTCCTTCCACTGAATGATCGATCTATATACAACATGGCTTACCCTCGGTAGGCATAAACTCTTTCCTCCTTTATGCCATGGGTTCTGTCAATGAGATCTTAGAAAAGCCAAGATTTTACAAAGCCGGTTTAGCGTTCTTGACGAGCATCTCAAAGTATGCCTGGTTCCACTGACCCGCCTCGGGACTCGGCTTGAAGCTGTCTGACTTGCCGCAGAAAGAATCATACCTAGTCGCTGAGCTGTCACTAGTACCGTCACTTTCGCCACCAGGCTTGACCCACACGAACGAATCGACAAGGCTGGATCCCGTGTTGCTTGTGGGACGAACACCAAATCCAGCACCGTTGACGTTGCACCAATTGCCCCACTCCTGGCGCAGACCGGTAACACCGTTGCGGCCTGTGTCGACGATGGCTTGGCCTGGCATGCCTGCGGATTTGAGCTCAGGGGAGAAGAGCTCGATGAACTTCTTCTCGTTCTGTGCTTTGTTCCATTGGGCGTCGGTGGCCTTGGAGAACTCTCCTGGGGAAAGGTCCCAGGCGTTCCAGCCGGCGACGTTGGTGGCGACACCGCGGACGGACTTGGGGCTACCGGCGTTCTTGTAGACGGTGGCGAGTTCCTTGGCTCCGGGCTCTGTGGAACGTTGTTAGTAATGAATTGGCCATTGAGAGGTGATGGGAGCATGCTTACTCAGGTTGTCGTTCCAGCCGAGCCAGCCTCCGTGACCAGCATCGATATACATGGCGATGTTTGGCAAGTTGAGTTGCTTCAAGGCATATGCGACGCCCTCACGGTAGCCAGAGGCAGAGTCCTTGCAGGTCTGGAGGTTGGAGTTGGTGACCAGGTTGGGCAGGGAATCGGGCTCGATGACGAGAGCGATGGCAGTGTTGGGGTACTTCTTGAAGATGGCAACGATGGCTAACATGTCGTCAGTACGAGTCGCGTTCAGTGGAACAGAGAGACTTACGGTCAATGTACTCCGTCTTGTAGATGTTGATCTCGCCTACGGCAAGTTCACCGTTGGAGGCCTTGGCTGCGCAATCACGACCGGGCAGATCGTAGATGACGAGCGCAGCAATCTCGCCGCAAGGAACGTCTTTGATGCCGTCCTCAACTACGGAGATCTTGTCACGGGTGTCACTAAACACTCGTTAGTTTGATATCATGCAAAGAAAGAGCTGATAAACTCACATCCATAGGAAAGTTCCAACATCAGCGACCTTCAGAGCAGCAGATGCCAAGGCAGTGTCAGTCATCTGAGCAGCCGCAGATACAACCTCGGAGGAGTAGAACTTGTTGGCGTAGATCGAACGGGATGCAAAGGGGTTTCCGGACAGGGTGACGGGAGTGGCACATGCTGCAGCCTGACGAGCAGTGATAGGACCATTCTCAGTAGGGGAAGGAAGCGCAAAAGCGCCGGTGATGACCGAAGCCACAGCGAAAGAAAAGAGACCCTTCATGTTGACGTCTGGAAGTGATTGCTTGGGTACCTGGATGTGTCGATGCTGGAAGTCTTGGGGGATATCGAGAGCTTCTTATATCGCCCTTGGGTGGTATGCTGCTAGTAGCGTACCAACTCAGCATCGGAATACCTGTTCATCAGGAAGTAGGCCCGTGAAACGCGGAGGTTAGTCTTTGGCTTGGGTCTGTGCGATCGGCGCTTGAGATATGAGGCTTAGATGAAGGATTATCAGCAGTAGCATGGTACTATAGTAAACTTCCAGTCAAGTGATATTAGTCAAGTGGGAGGCGAGAGCGAACATCCTCGAACGGCTTCGATCTATGTATTAGAAACTTTCATGAAGCTGGCTTTGCGCTGATAAGGCATTGTCATCTCGCAATACGCCATCACTGAGGTTGTATCTTGAGCGACTCCTTCGGTACTTAATCCGGCGTCTTCAACGAGAACATCCTTTGCTCGTTGCCTGTCATCGCCTTTGTTACGTTTCCGGTTGCTTGGGTCAAATTCACAGGGTAAATAGATGAACGTTTACATGACACACCATAGGGTCGCGGGGGTGGCCATTCATCGGGTCTCCTACCCCGCGATCTCCGCGCTCGACTTCCAGTCCTGCTACGGGTGATCATAATTGGCGCTTAGAGCTCGCGAACATGTCATCTGTTTATGAATTGTGATCATATCCTATGGCCGCTTCTCAGGTGTTGCAGTTTTCACAGGTGAGAACCCAGAGGGAGATGATATCGGACCGAACAATGCATCTGCGAGCTATTTGATCCCTCAAGAGGTATATTGAGTGCATCGTGCGATTGGTACGGGCGGAGTTCCTCATTACTACAGCTGTGACTGACACGATTGGAGTGAAAAGGACGCGAATTAGCGCGTCCAATATAGTTGCATCAGCTGTTGATTAGACATCAGAGGCCTATGGTATAATACAAGCAGGTACGCGAAGGCGACCCGGAAAACTGTGGTAGAAGACCTTCTCGAATGATTAGAATGTACACATGACAGTCGAGATTGATGAGGGTCAAACTTGGAGGCTCCTTAATCTTGCATTTATCCTGATACACTCCGAATCAAATGTTGGGGCAAACGAGGGACCTGGTCAGTATTATAGCCAAGTCTCGTTGCCGATTCAATATGCCTGAACAAAAGTCGTGTGATACAGGATGAGCGCCTATGGTAAGATTCTAGAAAGCGGGGACCGAGAGAGCTTCCGGACACGAGCGGCTGCCTGGTTAGAATAGATGAGAATACTGTAGGATGCCGCAATATGGAGAGCCGCACGGAGGCGCATTGTACCGCTGTGTAGGAGGCTTTTCGTATCAACAGCACCACGTATTTTCCCCGATCTCTTGTCGCACTGGATGAATGCCAGCACACAATCCCATAAGAGGACCGCGCATGACACCTAGCGCTACCCGCGGTATGGTGAAGTATTCAAATTCGGTCAGCTGAGAAGTCGTGGGAAGGCATCGTATCACTGCAGTCTATGTTCGAACTCGACGGCACGCTTCTCGGTACATCACTTCCACTACCATGGACGGGCGTGTGTGAAAAAAGAACATCCGAAACATCGAAGGCAGCGAAAGATTTGGAAATGCTGCAGGGCGGTAGCAGTAGCACTCGAAGGGTAAAATGTGAGTGGTTGAGGAAAGTGAGGTGGTTTATATTCGTGGATGCCGGAGTGGTCGGATAATTAGAGTTAAGATACGCTAAAAGCGCGCCTATTCCAATTTCGTCGTAGTGCCAATATGAAGCTCTGCGCCATTGCCTCGCAAGCCTCGCACTTGAGGCGAATTTCTGAGCTTGTGTGGACGTCTGAAAACCTTGAGATGATGGAGAGTCTCTGAAAAACATGTGTATCGTAAGTAGCCCAGAGGAGACTTCTACGGTGACTTCCCTTATCGACCCTAACAGTCCTGCTGCAATCCAACAAAATCTTGAAATGACCTTTGAAGACCCCTGTGGCTCTGCGTCTGGGCATCAACCATATATCCATATCCGTTCTATATTGATGTTACCAGAGTTTGTGATCGATCACGTGCTCTCAGAAGGACCGAGACCTGGATGTCGGTGAACGGCACCAGTTACGGATAGCACAACAGTATTAGTTATGTATATTATCTGCTCTTACCCAAAACCCATCTGTAGCTCTCTTTCGTTCGTCTTACTGTCACCCGTCTTGACAAAGACAGACCAATACCATAGCACAGACTTTATAGCCAGAGGAATGTTGTCGTCCGCTCTGGTTGTCTACTTCCGGTAGCAATAGCCTCCCCCAAGTATCGCTCCAATGCTGGTCAAACGTCTGATCAGTGAAGACGGATCACAATCATCCCTTGTGATCTGGAACATCAGACGAGAGCCGTGAACCGGACTTTTCCACACGATAGACCCCACAGGCTAGGGCACATCTTGCAAACTATCCTCCAGTATATTACATGCTGCTTCGGCAGCAGCAGCGAAAAATGTTATCAAGGTTGTAGGCAGATGGATACTTAGCGGGTTGTAGTGTGAAGGAGGGCTAACAAAGTCCTTGAATGGTGCACAGCCCAAGAAAAAGTAGCAAAGGCTGGACCGTGAGTCGGAATCTAGCCTACTGAGGAACGAGCTGGGCAACCAGCTAAGATGCAACAAGCAACTAGAGTTGTGGAAGCATGGGTTGTCGAAAACCTTCTCAGCGCCACGAGAAAGAAGCTGTGTTAACTAGAAAAAGGCGCTTCGGAAGTGCTCCTTCTCGATGGCCAGGCACTCTGAACACGTGCGTGGGTGCCTTGCCAACTATCGCTAATGCCACGCGGTTCCCTAGTCGTAATGAACAGAGTACTGTACTTGACGAATAATGTTGTTCTCTGATCCTGACATGTTTCTTTTCCTACTGGGAAGGGCTAAGTTTTTCGAAGGCGATGAGACTACAGCTGTGTTCTGAAGTGCTTCAGGCCTAAGCTTCATTCGCGTCACATGTTGTTCAAGACTGGATTCTTCCTGGGACGAGACTGTATCGATAGAGATGTCGAGCGCATTCGAGCGAGATAGCTTGTTCCGTGATTCCCTCGTGCTTCTCGATGTAGCACTTCGGGCTGACAACTTGTATCCTTGAGACGACCCGTGTATGCGCATGAGCTCACCATGACCGAACCCGGTGCTGAGAGATTCCGTGAATCGCTTGAGCGCAGCGATTGTAGCTGCAGCGAGGGAAAATGAGAGTTCTATGGCCTGCCAGATGACCACCATCGCAGCTGCAAGCGGGATGTCGGACGAAGCAGCAAGTCTGAGTATCTCCCTCTGGCGAAGAGCAGAGAACACGAGGGTTCTATAGGATAGTTAGCGGATATTCCAGCACCATCAGATATCAAAACGTACGGTAATCGCAGCCAAAATGCTGATACAACGATGAATTTTGTTCGGAAAGTCATCTGCAAGTTCCATACCAGTTGAATGGGGAGAAATAGTAGAAGAGCCTCCGTCATGACGTCCAGAGCCGTTAGGGCATACCATCTTCTCTCCGCCTGGGGACACTCGGGGTTCGCGGCGGTTATGCTCCATGCCAGCTCGTACTGAGCTGAGCACTTTACAGTCAGAAGCAGGATGGACGTTAAACACTGAGCAATTACCAGAGCACCAGCAGAGTACTGAGATCTTCTGTGAAATGTAGTTTGTGTCGTACGTAAGAGCATGGCGACGATTGCGGCCTTTGAAACGCATAGCGAGATGATCCAAAGGACGTTGCCAGCTATCGTGTAGTCATTGAATTTTTCGATAGCAGCAGAATTGAGATCCAAGTCATTTATCGAGTGACCAAGTCCCGCAGATATGGACGCAAAGACGATGCCGAAGAAACTAAGCGCGAATATCTATTTTGAAAGTTGTTAGAATAAGGTGTTCGATGCTCTCTAGTCACATCTTACAATGGAGACACATACGTACCCCCGATAGTAGCACGAAGAGATCATCAATACCATAGGCTCCCCATCGAATAAACCCGCGCAGACATGCTACACATAGTGTATAGCATAAACAGAGACCGATAGTGAACTTCAAAGTAGCTGCATGTCCTGGATTCCGCACGTCCGCGATCTCATAGTTTGCCATGTTGTTGTCGGACCAAAGTATGCCGAACAACGCTCAGTTCTTACGTTGTCACATCGGGGCGTAATCACACAGGGCTGGTCGTGGCGTCGTCTCCGAAGCTGCGGTGCTGATCACAACCCCGTGTTAGTATTATATCCCAGCGACGACTTCGTTTCGCACGCAACCGCAGGCCCACCGAGCACTTTTTTCAGTAGACTTCGCGTCGCGCCACCCCTTGATAGGTGCGTGGACCTTGCCTCCGCTCTCCAATCGTGAGTTCTTCCGTGTTCAACCAGTGGCCGAGGCCAGACCCTGTCCTGCGTCAGTGCTTTGATCCTTCGGCGCCACTGGGTCGGAAGACAGTGCATTGATCATGTTGCCAGTTGCACGCGCTAAGATGGGAGTACATGGTGTATCATACCATAGGGTCCGCTATAGGCTGTCTATAACCATATTAATATACCACTATATCGTGACGTGCCAGAGCCTATCGTTTCTCGACGCAGTGCTGAACTGCAGTACATTGAACCCAACACCTGATAATATAGAGGCTGCTATAATTCGACTGGCGAGCCTCACGACGTATTGGCAGTCAGCCTACGCGGAGTGCTTGACTGCACCCGGACTCCCTTGACGAAATGACGGAGCATAATTTGCGCACGCTTAACTTTTACTAGCGCGGATGTGCAGCAAAAGTGACATGTCATCAATGAAACTGTAAGAGGTGTGAGGGGTCGTAGAAGGCGCGAAGGATTCGCACGCGGCTCGGGGAAGTGTGGTGTTGCTGTGCAAACAGGGAAAATGCGGTGGGTTGACACCGAGGCGCGTTTCTGCCTAGTACTGTAGCCACGGGACGGGCCCCCCACACCATCCACCACCCACTTGTTCGATCTACAACGCTGTCGTCGTCCAATCAGCTTACGTTTGTTGTATCAGTACTAGAATGCGCGAGTTGCAGGAAGTATCTGAAATCCTACAACTCTCGATACACGACGTCCCTACCTGGGCAAGCTTCACTCACGTTGCCATGCACACAAACCGGCCTGGCGCATTGGGTAACCTCTTTGATAGACAGCATTGGCGCCCCTTGCGTAAACTGCATCTGAGTTGCGATCCCTGTATGCTTAAGCCGCGTCCTAGGTGACATCGGTTACACAACGCTTGCATTTCCTGAATTGATTCGCTAAAGCCTCCACGTTCCAAATGGCCTGTCACATGAACCGGCGACCATCCCGAGAATGGCAGCTGATTCCCAGCCCTAGCACACGGCTTGCACCCATCATGTAAAGTTTTGCCAGTAGAATTTGCATCTAGGTCGCTTAAACAGCATCTGGGACAGGTTCTTCCGCCCAGCATCTTTCTCCTATTAGGATATCCCTTACCTTCACTGATTGTCGATGGTCTGCAGTCCTGCGCTTCACACAATGGCAATTTTTGGGGAAGCGAAAATTGCGAATGCTGAAGAGTACGATATCGGAAGCAATGGTCCCAGTGCAGCGGATAGGATGCATGCCAGTGCGCTGGGAGGCACAGCTCATGATGCCTCGGACATGCACAGGATGGGCAAGAAACAGGAACTGCGAGTATTTTCACTTACCAAAACCTGTATGTAGTAGCTCTGCTGATTGTACAATCAGAGAAATTTCCGCCTGATTTCCATCATCGGGTTTGTGGTGGTCCTGCAGTCAACATGGGAAAGTGCTCTGTTGTAAGTTCTTTCCTGTTGTGACAATACTCCCCTGCTGACTTTCGGCAAGATCTGCGTATTTTGGAGTAAGTGGTAATTGTACAAGATGCAGATGAGATACGTACTGACTACATGTCTTCATCTCTGCAGCTGTTCAATGGCGGTACAGCAGGTGTCATCTGGATGATGATTATTACATGGATCTTCGTACTAGCGATGATCGCATCTCTCGCTGAGATGGCATCGATGGCTCCAACTGCCGGTGGCCAATATCATTGGGTCAGCGAGTTCGCACCGCCATCGTTCCAGAAGTCGCTCAGTTACATCGTGGGTACGTTGCAGACTGAGCTGCGTGACTGTGCCCAATGCACTAACAGTATGTCCAGGATGGTCTGCGGCCGTTGGATGGGTCAGTGGCATCCCCGCATGTGCGCAAATGCTTTCAAGTCTCGTCATTGGGATGGTCCTCCTCGCGTATCCAGACGCGGAAATCGGAAAGCTATGGCACGTCACGCTTCTGATGATGCTCTGGTTAATACTCATGGTTGGATTCAACATCTTCCTGGCACAACATCTGCCTCTCGCTGAAGGTATCGTTCTTGCCTTGCATGTGTTCGCCTTCTTCGCCTTCCTGATCCTTTTTTGGACCATGGCGGAGCGTTCGCCTGCGGAGGAGGTTTTCACTACATGGACGAATGGAGGAGAGTGGAGCTCGATGGGCGTGTCTGCACTAGTCGGCCTCTCAACCCCACTGTGGTGCTTCATTGGTCCAGATGCGGGTGCCCATATGTCTGAGGAGTTGAAAGATGCCTCCGTAGTACTTCCTAAAGCGATGATGTGGGCTGTCTTCTTCAATGGCATCTTTGGATGCATCATGGTAAGGAAACATGAGTATCATCCTACATACGGCGCATATACTGACGTCATGTCCGCTGTTGTAGATGATCACTTTTGTGATGTGCGGCGGTGCTCTCGACTCGGTCCTAGAATCGCCAACGGGACAACCTGTTCTCCAAGCCGTATACAACGCCACAGGCTCCATTACCGGCACAGAAATCATGGGAGCAGTGCTCGTCGTTCTTGTCTTCTTTGCAGCAGTGTCTGTCACTGCGGCTTCTTCGCGTCAAATCTGGGCCTTCGCGCGCGATAAAGGACTTCCGTTCTCTGCGTGGATTGAGCGAGTACCAGCCGGCTGGGACATTCCCGTGAATGCGCTTCTTGTTTGCCTGGGATTTTCGTGCGTGCTCGCATGCATCAACTTCGGTTCCGATGTCGCTCTAAACGCCATCGTCTCTATCTCCAACGCTGCCCTCATCTTCTCCTACATCATATCGATTGGATGTGTCCGATTGAAGCGTCTCCGCGGTGAGCCATTGCTGCCCCGACGCTGGAGCTTGGGCAAGTTTGGAGGCATCGTCAATGACCTTGCTCTTGCTTTCCTGGTAGTGTCCTTCATTTTCTCTTTCTTCCCCATCGTCCCGAACCCTTCTACTACTGACATGAACTTTGCGTCGCTCATGTTTGGCGCTATGGCGATAATCGCTACAGTCAATTATTTCATTAGTGCACGGAACAGCTATATCGCGCCCGTCTCACTCGTTAAACAGGACTAGATGGCGGATTCGTTGTTCTAGCGATTATGTGAGGCTTATAGATGAATAAATTAGCATTCTACACCGCACTGGGCAACCTTCAAGTTTCGCGTAGAGTGATTTTGGCACTAACCTCTTATAGATTAGCGCCTGGCCACCTGATTCCTTCTCCTGGGCAGATCTGCCTCCCAACCCAACTGCTGAACGGTAGTTAAAACAAAATTCCTTGATTCCAGGACCTCGCTACCCATTTCCCCTCAAGTCCTTCTCATCCCAGCTTTGCCAGGGCTTCTTTCTCTTCGAAACAAATCACGATGCGGGGTATTTAGATGGGGGCAGCCAGTTGACTTGTACCGGCACAAACATTGTCAAGTTTTGGCTTGGAAAATTGATATATCCAAGAATTAAGATGTCGCAGCCTTTGAAAGAGGCCGATATCATATTTCCGCATCTCCCCAACACACCAACCCTCCCCAGTCCCCTCTCTTCTCTACGCCGCTCAACACTATCAACGCAAAACCGCCTCGCCTCCATCGTCTCAGACAGTGAATTCATCACATCTGTCGGATCCGCCTATGATCTGCCTCTAGTGGCGAATGAGCGGTGTGGCAGTTGGTATATTCCGCCCTCTCAGAAATCCGGATCTGTCTATTTCAAAAGCACGGACGGCCATATGGGTGAATGGAGCTTCAGTCTGAGAAGACTGAACTTACAGTTGTTAGATGTCGTAAAGAGCTATGGGGGTGCGGTGGTTGTAGATAGTACGAGAAGGGGGAAAAGTATGCCAGACGCGTTGAGCAAAACGATTCCCATATGGTGCTGTGTCATCAACAGGGCTATTTTTGGCAGAGAAGAAAAAGGAGAAGTGAAATTGTTTTCTCCGCCGCAAGCGGTGAGCGAAAGTGAGCATGCGCAGATGGAGACGAAGATAGATGGGTTCGTGCGACAATTTATGGTGCGTATATTGTCTTGACATTCTCGAGGATACCAATTGATAGCGAGAGAAGGAAATCTGCAAGCCAAACATCTCGGAACTTCGCAGTAAGCTACAGAAACCACTGAGGCCGATCTGGGCGACACAACTATCATCTCTTCCGGACTCAGCCCCTTCTTTTCCGGACTTTCATCCCATCGTGCTCTGCACAGCTTCACGACGTGTGCGCGGTGCCGAGGCATCAGAGAGCGGGTACATCCAGGGTGCTGCTGACGACCACGAAGCATGGTCGCACGGGCTGACTCCGACACTGTTCTGGAAGCATAAAGATGTTTTGATGAAAACGAGTGAGGAAGACGTGCCTGCCCTGATCGAAAGACTACTCAAAGGAGAGGGGGGTAGCAGTGCAGTCGCAAGTTTGATCAAGCCGACATCGAAACTGCACATCTCAGCTAGTGACCAGATGAACCTTGCGGGTTTCGAGGTGGTGGTAAGCTGCACACCGGAGCCGTTCGCCACCTCAAGGCTCAAGGAAGCTGGAGTCAAGCGCTATCTCCATCTCAAATGTCAAGTAGGCAAACTAGGATCGCGTGATCTGCGTACTCAGCTGCCTCAGCTTCTACAATTTTTCTCGTCATTTGAAACACCGACGACCGGAAACATCCTTGTATGCTGTCCAACAGGCAAAGATCTTTCTGTTGGTACAGCTCTGGCCGTATTATGTCTTTACACCAATGAAGACGGAAAGATAGATACAAGCAAGTCAAGAGAAGCAAAGGATATCGGAAAAGTCTTTATCAAGCAAAGACTGAGCTGGATAACGACAAGCAACCCAGCGCTGAACCCGAGTCGTACTACACTCCAAAGTGTCAATGCCGTTTTACTAGAGAGCCAAGATCCAAAGGCCTACTCGCAGACCAAGAATAATGGCATAGGTAATGGTAGCTTTACTACATCAATACCAATCAGAGAAACGAGGCAATTACCACAACAACGAGAAGATTTACAAACAGGAGAGGAATCTCGAAACGAAAAGCCACAACAAAACTCGTCTTCAATAGCCAAAAACATCTTCGAGAGCCTGCGTAACTCGGCAAACACATCATGGAATTTTCAACGCACGCTGCGCTCCTCATTACCCACACATCCTCCTGGCACCGTGGAAGGCATAGCGACATTCACGCCCTGCAACCTACCGGATAACTCTCCACCAACGCTTCTTTACGCCGAAGAAGGTGATTTCGTCACCGACACGGGGCTGAAGTTCACTGCGCGGAGGAAATACGTTTATCAACTCAAACCTAAGAATGATGATACTGGGGGAGAATACATCGCAGTCCGCTTCTTCAACGACGAAAAGATGCCACGAGCGGAGATTGAAGATGGTGTTGGAAAGGGTGGTGAAGGAATAGGCGGGTTATTTGTAGAGATGGGTGACCTTGAGGCGGATGGGCGTGAAATGAAGGCGAAGAATAAGGAAACACATCTCTGTGCCAAGGACCTGTATACGGCGAGTTGGAGGTTTGGCGAGGGTCTTGTTACAGGGGGCGCACAAGACATTTGGTGGGAGGTACGCTATGATGTTAAAGGGCCCCAGAAGGACTACGTGGGCACTACGCGATATACTCTTGTTTGAGATTGGAGTCGAGAGGAAGAGAGAAGATATGAATATAGGGTATCAAGCCGGTCTACATAACACAAAAGTCCACACTCCAGAAACTGCGATGCAGCAAAACATGATCCTCTACGATAGCCATTGATTTCATGACTTCACCCTTGTTACCTTCATTACAATGTTTGAGATCTTCATGAAAACATTGACGATCAGCGCCAATGCAGCAGTCGGGACGAAGATTTGTATCCACTCATACCAAAGCTTCGGCCGGACGTCAGTCTCGATCCAGCCAGCACCTTTTAGCGGGGCTCCACCATTCACGCTGGGTGTTTCGCCTTCGTCTGCTGGAAAACGTTGGTTCTCGACGAAATACTGAAGTAGATCGTCCTTCTCGCGCCACCGGGCAAGGAGCCAGTCGCTGAAGATCTTTTCGTCATGAAGAGGTATATCGGCGATGGCGAAGCGGCGCCAGTACATGTTCACGGACTTTGGCGGCCGGCCTTCAAAGTAGGTACTGTACAGAGTGAAGAGGTCCTGGCCATACTGACCGACGCTGTCGGGAGTCAGCAATCGATTTTTTTCACGCTATGCGAATCGGACTTACGGGACGCCTTCGTACGCCATGGTGCAGTCGTACAAATAATCGACAGAACCTTGCAGTTCCTGCAAGCAGAAAGACAAGCCTGTGCTTCGTGGCAGCAATACATGTCTCAGATCTTCAATTTGATTCTTCTCCGCCCACTTCTTGCTCGAAGCGCGACCGTTTTTGCTGAGGTTTGTGCCTTCAGGGAAGATGAGCAGCCACATTGGATCAAGACCATTGGAGCCAGATAGTGGACCACTGTGACTCGTGCTCAGCTTCCTCAATCTATGCTGGAAGCGTTCCTTGTCCGTCGACCATTTGCGTGAGAGGAAGATGAAGCCATATAGCATCATACCCCAACCGAGGACGGGGATGTACTTGAGCGACTCCTTGAGGATGATATAGAGGTGGCCATGCATGGAAGCGCTGTATCCCATCCACCAGAGGTAGACCCAGTCAGTGTAGATCTAGTAGGTGTCAGCTCTCGCTGTCCCATAAGCGGTTGCTTGGGAAGGCGTACCTGGTGGTTCGAGATGAGGACCATTCTCTCTGGAAAGTCGCATTCCATCATTCCATCCTTGTTCTTCCTCATTTGTCCTCGCACGCTCTCGTCTCCACTGACGCGCATCGTGACGGGTGCCCACCAGTACGTCATGGTGGTGACGACCATGCTAAAGTGCTGCTTTGTCATGGCCATCCATGCGTAGAATAGGTCTTTGCTGTAGAAATATAGCGGGAGGCCGATGTATTGCGTGATGGCGATACTGAAACAGGGCGTTAGTAGCCTATGGGGGCATTAGCTGTGGGCAATACTAACGCTATGATGCTGCCGTTGAAGTACGCTGCGAAGAGACACATGCGCATGGCTTGTGCGAAGACTCCATGTTTGACTTCGCCGGCTGGGTGCTGCGTGGGGTCGGGGAGTGTTGGCTCTGCGGGAGCCTTGGTCCGTTGCGCCTTCAGCTTCTCGATGACAGGGATTGATGCGGGCGGCTGGCGCTGCCGGATGCTCTTGGTGGACATGGTGCTCGAGGTGTGGACATGCGTAGGAAGGGTGTAGGCACTTCACTTGGCTAGGGAATATGACAGATAAGGCACGAGTGCGCGTGCACCTGAGTTGGCGTGGTCGGATGCGGCGGGGGATGGGTGCTGAGAGCGCGTGCTGTGGTCCGCATTGGGCGTCTTAGGCTGGACGCGCCTGGAAGAGTGGCGTGAAGGGAGCGAGGAAGCAGTCAAGGTCGCGGCCTCTGCGCATCGTGTCTTGTCTTGTCGGCGGGCGCTGGAACCTACTGTTGCCGATCCGCAGCTTTCCATCCCAGCATGATGACACCGGCCAGAGTTACCCCACCCCGTACAGGGATAGCTCTGCCTGTGCGGGCGCTAGTCATATCCGGACGCGTTCACTCGCAACCCTCACCCTCTGCACCAGAGGCCCAGCACCAGGGCCCACGTTTCGCCCATGTGACGATGGAGATTAGTCGCTGGGCCAGCATTATCTCCGCCCGTTAGCATTCACTCCAAGCCCTTTGGCGCGCGAGACATGGACGCTGCCGTCCTGTCACGGCTCAACTCGTCATCGTCCCCTCACATGGCGTCCCCTCACCCTTCTAAGCTCTGCGCACAGCATCGCCTGGAATTTTGGCCCTAGTCTTGCATCGTCTCCCCAACCATGTTTATGCCGCATCGCATCTTGCCATGGCGCCTCCTGGCTTTGCCCGCGCAGGCGCGTAGTTTCTCTTCGACTTCGCGTCGTCTTGACATCAGGCACGTGTCCGAGCTTCCCTCGCGCACCAAGCCGTCATACATACAGTCGTCCAACACGCTGCTGAGCCTACAATGGCCCTCGCCGCCGCGCAACATCCTCGTTACCAAGAAGAAGCGCACACCAAACATCACCGAGTCTGTCATCGAATTCACATCGCACATACGCTCCACCTACCCATCCATCAACGTCATCTTCGACCCTGAGACGGCCCAAGAGCTACACGAGCAGCTGTCGTTTCCCGTATACACATACACCCAGAGCCAGGGTGCGCCACACGATCTTTCGGATAAAACCGACTTGGTCTGCACGCTTGGAGGCGACGGAACGCTGCTGAGGGCCAGTAGCTTGTTCAGCCATGCCGATAATGTACCTCCAGTCTTGAGCTTCGCCATGGGCACTATCGGCTTTTTGGGCGAGTTCAAGTTCAGGGAATACAAGAGAGCATTCCGGGAGGTGTATATGAGCGGTGCGCCGGACACGTACTCTACCCTGTCCGATTCACTAGGAACGAGTCCTCCTACTCCCCCAACATCGCCAGACGATCCTTTGGATAAGCCACTAAGCTATGCCGACATACGCGGCAAGGCTATGGGCAGTAACAGAACAGCGCGCATCTTGCTGCGTAACCGACTGAAGGTCGGCGTCTTTGGGCCCGACGGGAAAAGGATAGGCGGCATCGAGGGCCAGGGCGACACGTACGCTCTGAACGAGGTTACCCTCCACCGTGGCTCCAGCCCGCATCTGAAGATCATCGATGTCTACATCAACAACCGCTTTCTTACCGAGGCCGTCGCCGACGGCATGATCATCAGCTCGCCAACCGGATCGACAGCATATTCGCTATCTTCTGGAGGGAGCATTGTGCACCCTCTCGTATCATCGATATGCCTTACGCCCATCTGCCCTCGATCACTTTCCTTTAGACCACTGGTGCTCCCCGCTGAGACACCAATCACGTTGCGCTTAGGCAAGAAGAACCGCGGTCGCGAAGTCGAGGTCAGCATTGACGGGAATACAATCACCGAGAAACTGGGCACGGGTATGGAAGTCCGAATAGGCGGGGAGGTAGTCAAGCGAGACGCTCGAGGTTGGGAAGGTGGCGTACCCAGCATCGTACGTGGTACGAGCGGCAAGGAAGACATGGCTGAGGATCATTGGGTTGGTGGGTTGAACGCTCTCCTCAAGTTCAACTACCCATTCGGTGATCAGGAGTCTTAGACACTCTTCACTGTTCATCACCATGGTTAAGCAAGAGCCCCAGACCTTAGTCAAGTCCACCGTTATGGCTTTACAAATGGGTTGCTCCACCCAACACCCTATGTTTTCCATTTTGCTCTTATAACGAAGAGTGTGGACCATGAGATCATAACAACGGACAACTGGGCTTATAGCGGCGCATGTATTCGAAAGTAACAAACCAGCTATACTCACACTAGCTTGTGCTAGGTCGCCTGCGACTCCCAAATCCCTCCAGGGTCAGAGTGCTTCCTCGCTGAGCCTGACCCAATATCGAAATATTCGGGCCATCATCGACCAGTGATTGCCCTTGTTGATCTAGATAAACCAGACTCGCCCGCCACAATGGAAATCGACTAAACCTAGCAATTGACACAATCAACCACTTCATCAATTTGCGCCCCGATACATGCATTGGTGCGACTGCGACTGTTTAATCTTCGCCACCGTGGCTGTTCTTCCATGTTCCAGCGTAGTGATGGGTTACTAACTGTGGAGATAGTATCGCCTCCTCTTCCGGGCTATAGGTGTTTGTCATCGGCGCGAAAGAGCGACCTGGCATGAACAGCACGTCTCCGACGAGCTTAGGCTGCAGAAGCTCCTCCGTATCACTGCCCACCAAATTGCGGTTCGTCATGCCACCTAGGCTCTTGTATACCGCACTCGTTAGACGTCTCGGGCCTGTAAACTCGACTGTGTCTCCCATGATATCCATCGTGGTATTCTCGACTGTTATACCGTGTTCAGCTGTCTTATCAGCTAGCTCCTGCAGGATGTCGTTGATGCACTGCATCAGATGTGGTGACCTGGGCTTTGCCATGATGGCCCATATTTCCATCTGGTGCAGGTAATTACCCGGCCACCCATGGTCGAACTCCCAGCCCACAACAAGACTCGTGTTTTCCTTGTACTCCGCTGGGATCCAATCGTCGATGGGTATGCCCTCACAAGAAACGTCAAGATCGAACCAAATGCCACCCTGGTCCCAGAGTAACAGGTAACGAAGGATATCCGCCTTCCATATAGGAACTGGTAGCGCTAGGAAGTTGTCGACAATGTCGGGCCGAGACGCGAATGTTTTGCGAACATACACGTCGCTGCTTTCGTCGGTCATGAAGCGCGCTTCGTATTCGGGGTTGGGCTTGATGCAACTATCGGTCCAATTTCGCGCTTCCTCTGAGAGGCCACGCGGCCCTAGCTTATACCATATCAGTTTAGGTATTCCTTCATACTTTGGTATTGCGGTCGCTCCTTGGATGTGGACTGCAATATTATCTTGGACAGAGCGGAGAGTGCAGATCTGGTAAATGAAGAAAATAACACACAAGGCGACGAGTAATTGATAGCTAAGAAACCTGAAATGTAATCGTGCTAACATAATGAAGGTGTAGGTTGCTCAAAGAACGCTGGTGGTAAAGAGTCCAAGGTGAGTCGATGTTTAGGGTTCAGCATCTACACCAGCCGTCACAAGGCTGAAGCACGATCGCTCACGACGAGGGGCTATGCAGTCTCAAAGTCAGCTCAGAACTAGAATGAATCTTAGACTATCCCTGTCACTTTCGGAAATGAATGGCGCGGGTTGCTCAAGAGGAAGGATCCAACGAAAACGCTCAGTGTGACGAGGTGGTACAACATAAGCAGCCACGCGCGCAACAAAGGAGTTGCATTCCTCAACGTCATGGGTTAGCCCTATTGGTCAATAGGACTCCACAACTAATGTTGTGAATCGCGCACCCTCTCACCCCACGATATATATACACTCGTACCGGCACGGGGGTTTCACACAAACTGGCCCTTGGAAGGTTGAGAATGTTGTGTCCAGTAATGCTTTATCGTGGAAAAGCAAAATATGTCTCAGCCTGATTCTATGCCCACTGGGCTGAAGAGGTTATACGAAGCCTTCACGGACACCAGTGAATGACCAGTACTTATGGCAGTTGCCAGGTCCAGATCGTCACACGCAATCTGGGAGGCCTATCCAAAGGTCTGCCGCATGCGCGGTGTTACGATCCCGATCCTGCTCAACATACGTTCTCGTGCGTACACCGATACTCTCTCTTGCCACGCTATCAGCCACGGCAGAATCGTCATGGTATTGGAGGAGCGGATCAGACAGCCCATTTCCCGCTCGACCATGACATTGACATCGATATCGTGATTTTCTGCCTGTAAGCCTGAAGCGTGGCTTCGCGCGAACTTGCTTTCAGCCCCCACGCAAGGTCTTGAAGCGTTTTGCTTCCACAAGCCGCCTGATTCAGCCTCACGCATTTCCTCCTTTCAAATCACACTACTTTGATTCGCTTGTACCCTACGGAACTTGTCAAAGTCGCCCCCTATCCTCTCACCTACTTGCCTCCCTGAACATCAGTCCTTCTCGCTTGGTTGTGCCTTTACTGGGACATTGAGTTATCGTATTCGACCTCCTATCTTAATTCCCAGCACTCATGCAATTCATCGTTCCGCCGTCGAATCCGAGACCATTGGACTTCAGCGATGCGCAGGTATACTATTTGGGTGACAAACTCACAATCTACTGGACGGAGCCACCGGCTGGCATCGCCTCATCTATTCTTCTATGGCAGGCAAACCGGACGACTGGCGTACTCGTTGGAGACAAGCAATATATCACACGTACGAAATACCATCATCTCTGACATCTATCGGAGTAACTCTGACTAACAATATCAAACAGAGAGTGTCGTGAATAAGACTGACGTGGTTTGGCCTATCACGACTGACTTCAATCTGACCTTGTCAAACCTGTTCCAACTGACCCTTTACCAAGAGGGTGAAGTGGACCCAGTCGACTTTAGTCAGTATCTCTATCTCGAAGATAAGGCCGACTCGGCATCGGCTTCAATTTCGTCGGCTGCGTCTTCACTCCTATCAAGCTCAACGACCTCTGCAACGACCTCTGCAACAACCTCTTCTTCCAGCGCAGGAAGTTCAATACAAACCAATGTACCGACAGCCGTACCCATGCCCAGTTCAGCCTCGCCCGCGAGCAGCTTTCCCACCTCAGCTAAAATTGGAGTTGGGGTTGGGATACCTGTCGCGCTCCTCCTCGGGTTGATCGTCGGTTTCCTCTTGTTCCGTCACCACAAGAAAAAAGGGGTCGATGGGCCCAAAACACCCAGTCACCAAGTCGCTGAGCAGTACAAATATGGTCATTACGCACCTCCTTTAAACGAGGCTCCACCTGATAGTTTGATAGAGTTGGATCCGCAGCACGCAGCAGGGGTGGATGCACACAAGCCGCCAAATGATGAGGCACCGCCAGTGAGATACGAGATGTAGTGAGTGGATGTTTTGTCGACGAAGGCACATTGGCGCATGAACAGAGAGTGAAGCATTGTTCCAAACACACGCGAATTCTTACCTGTATTCAGCGACTATTGCCCAACTTTTGCAAACTGTAACATAGCCTTGTTTAATTGATAAATCAAATCACACCTGCTCATCATAATGCAAGAAGTTAGTCATGACTTGGCGGTTCTGTCGAAGTTGCCTAGATCTTGACTATTGACGATTGTCAGTCTGCTTACTTCCGCCCTATTGGTGTACGACAACACGAAAGATGCTTTGCTTGGCCACCTTACCGATTGACACATCACTCTCCTGTCCGTATCTGCCTCAAGCCTGGGGACTGGCCAACGCCATTTTCGCAGGTAAGCACGAGCATGTAAACTCGCGGGAAACCTGCGCAGCACCACCGTCACCGATCCAAAGTGTCTCCGTGTGTAGCAGTGACTGCATGAGTGGAGATTACGTTCGATATGAGCCTCATCAGACACGTTTGAGATTGTGTCAGGCAGATACCGCGTCACTAGGCATGGACTCAAGTCTGGGTCGGGTGTTGAACGGGGAGACTGAAAGTGGCCAAGGTTCCGCAATCACGACAGCAGGGCGACGCCATTCATATATGCTGTGCGTACTGAACCTTCGAAGGTTCGCACCACAATGACTGCTGAACGCCTATAGATCTTAGTGGCTCTTATTGGAAACGATACAAGGACAACAAGGACAAGTTAAAAACAGTCACAAGGATAAGAAGTATGAGAAACCACACAAACGTAGGTCTGCCCAACACAAAACCATAACAACGTGCTCGAATGCGACATAACAAACTCGTCCTTCTTCCAGGCCATGCAAACGAAAAGTAGCGACCCCTGACACGACATGAAACGAGCAAACGACCCCACTAAACCACCACCAGGAAGTATCAGCCTATCCGAATATTGTCGAATGTCGACCCATGTCTGGTTTCTTCCCGCGAGTACGTGGGGAGGAAATCTGAGCGCATCGAGCCTGCGGAAGGAGTGCGACCAGGCTGAGAGTTGGTGTAGGTATATTTGACATCCTCGAATGGCGTTGCTCCGATGACGGTCTCCGACAGACTGTCGTCATTAGGTATCTCCATTGAGTCGAGCTCGATACCCTCGTCGACCTCAGTATCCTTTGACCTACTCGTGTTCCGATCAAACTTCTTGATGCAGGCCATAAGCAGTATCATGAAGAGCATGTAGCCTAGTAGGCTGGTTGTCCACGCGAGGATAATTGTGCAAAGCAAGTAGACATCTCCAGCAGGCGGGTTACGGATGAGGATGTTTGTGATGTCGTTGATAATGTCCTCGCTGGGTGCTTGACTCATGGACGATGGTATGTGGGTTGAGTCACTATATTTCCAGTAGATATCGCCACGATGGTTGCGGAAGTCCATACCCAGCGTTCTATACACGGATTCAACTTTCGTCCAGCCACATAATCTACTACCTTCGAGCATGGTAGTCTTGTAGCCGTTGGTCACTAGAGCATTGGTGAGGATGTTTGGGTGATAGGTGGTGTATCTCGTGACAATTGCGTAGTCGAATATCTCGTTTTCTCGTGGGTCTTTGAATGTGATCGTTGCGCTACCGAAGCCAGTGTACGAGAGATTGACGATACGCTGATCGTGAGTCTTGGCGCTGTCGAGTCGCGGCACGCTTTTGGCGAAAATTGAGGTTGGTGAGAGTAACAAGAAGAGAAGTGAAACCAAGAACATGGTCTCGGCGTGAAAGCAGTGTTTTTGACGTGGGCAATTGAAAACTGCTCGCTATGAAATGCTTCGCCGGAAGAGTTGCGACGCCGGAAGAATGGGGAGGGATGTGGAGAGAGGTGCATGGGCGGGAGGGCGATTTCTTATAGGCAGACATGACTGCAAGCAATTTTCCCGAGGCAGGTAAGATGCGATGACATGAGAAGGAGAATAGCACCTGCGTCATGTATGTCGCGAAGTCCAGGTATGGGAAGGGAGGAGCGACGACAATACATTTCATTTCCGAATATCGCTCAACCTTTGACAAGAGTGTGCCCATCGCGAGGAATGACGTTTCTTCCAAGATCAAAGGTCAGATAAGAGAAAGTTAGAAATCTGACCAGCGGAAGAAACAATCGAAACTCTTGTGTCTCAACCAAAGAGAGGATTGAGAGTACTGTCTCCATATCTTCCTATTGCAAGCTATGTATATGTTGATGCTGCAAGCGTGTGCTAATCCTTTGCCATTGCACTCTTCTCCATGCAGTTCTCAGCAGGGATTGAGGATGGCATTCGACATATGAACATTCTTGAGAGCTACGTGGGCCTATATATTCGCATGGGCGTCTTTGGAATGGAATCACAAAATTGTTTGGTATATGCTCGTACATCGTGAGGTGAAATTCGGCTGGAGATCGACAAACCTGAGGAGAATAATTTGGGCGGGGTGCGGCCTCGACTTTGTCGTAGCGTGTACTTCGCTGTAGTCCGGAAAGAAATGATTCGTAGAGGCAGTGAGATGAAGCAGGCTATGGAGAAGTAAAAGTGAAGTTTCCTTCACAGATGTGTGTCTTGTGTAGTCGTGAGGGTCGTGTTCTCCGTTCTAGTACTTACGGTCCAAGCGTCCTGTGCAATCAATTACACATCACCCGAACCTAGTGTCGCTCTAACCAACCAGTCGTACACTTACGTCTCAGCGAGGACATCCTCGGTAGCTTTCTCGCTGATCATCATAGTAGGCAGCACTGGGAAGCCTCCAGGCACCTTAGGAAACGAGCTTGCATCCACAACTCGTAAACCCCTTGTTCCTCTCACTCTGAACTTGCTATCCAGTACGGCGTACTTGTCTCCATCAGCACCAATCCTGCAACTACTACTAGCATGGTGGCTGTAGGCCTGCTCTTTTATGTACGCCTTCTGGCTCTCGATTGTACAGTTTTGCTTCCCAATCACGCCTTCACATGGATGCAGCTCGCGGAAAGGAGCCAACGAGTCAGGTGCCGATGGATCAACTTTCGACAACCAGGAACGTACCCATTCGGCACCCTCGTAGATAGCTTGAAGATCTTCCTCTGCTCCGTCTTTGAAGAAGTTGAGGTTAATGGCAGGAACGTCGCGCGGGTCAGCAGATCGAAGTTCAACCGTACCCGCTTGGGAGCGTGGGTTCATATGAACCATGGCGCATTCGTACTGCGCTGGGCCGTAGGTCTCATTGAAGTATGGAGGTCGATTGGGAAAGCTGCCGGTAAGTTAGCGGATGTTCACCAAATTGTGTGAACAGCTGCAATTGCATACCCTGGCCAGAACCCCTCGAAGAGGAAAGAACCACACCACATATAAATATCTCGGATCCCTAGTTGCGAAGTAGAAGTCTTCCAAAAGTTTGGAAAGACCTCCGACATGCCAGTAACGGGACGATTGCCTAGCGATAAGATACCAGCCTCATAGTTGTCAGCCATCTGTTTGCCCACGCCAGGCGAGTCTACCACCGGTGCGATGTTGAACTTGGCAAGTTGCTCAAGCGGACCGATGCCGGAAAGCATAAGGAGCTGTGGTGAGTTGAAAGCTCCTCCAGAGATGATCACTTCCTTTGACGCGAACACCTTCCCCGCAACGCCTTTGATGTCGGGGTTGTAACGAGGATCAGCACTGTAGAGACTCTTCCCATGCAGATACTCAATACCGATTGCTCTTGGAAGACCTGGAGAAGCTTCATCGAAGACGATCTTGGTTGCTAATGTGTCTAGCGAGATCGTCAATGGATACTTGCCGGAAGCAGCCGTATCTCGAGCGTAGTAGCCGGGCGACGACCGACGACCGTTGGGGTTGATATGAGAGACCCCTCCAAATGGTCCGACAAGATGATCGCGACCGGATTGAGCTCCGTTCATGTCGCGCTGTAGTAGTGTTGAGGTGGAAGATACAGAGTAGCCCGCAGCTTGCGCAGCTAATCCGCTAAGCTGTTTGGCATCTGCGCTGGTCGTGTAGCCAGGGTCCATCATAGTCATATCGAGCCAACCGTCATGACCATGTTCGTACGTGCTGTTGTAATGCACTTTCTCAAGCTTGACAAGATATTTTCTCATATTCTCATGCGACCAAGTGTCGTCCCCAGTCATGTCAGCGATCTCATCCCAATCCGCATCGTTGGGATTCATCGTCAAGCAGCCATTATGCATAGCACAGCCTCCTAGAGTGCCTGCGCGTGGGTAGTACTGTATGTACAGTCAAAAGCCGCGTTGAGCGCGTGAATCTGATATACTTACAATTCCCAGAGCGGTAGAGTCTTCGGGGGGCACAGTGCCAACGTAGAAGCTTCCATCTGGCTTACGCCAAGTTCTATGCAAGTATCTTGCTTCCCTGGCTTCGTCATCAGAGTGCTTCACGAAGAAATCCCATCGCTAAACGATCCGTTAATTGTGTGTCGGTCCAATTCGATCACACACTTACTGTGGCCGGGTCGTTGCCTGCTATATTGAAGTTCAACCAATTCGAAACGTTGACGTTCTCCGTCTGGTCATCTCCAGCTTCAAGGAGCAACACAGAGTGACCGGCTCTGGCAAGATTGGAAGCAAGCGGTCCACCGCCAGGTCCAGAGCCTACAACAATGTACTCATAAGTTTTGTTGTCGATCGACGTAGCGGCCAGAGCCTTGACACTCAGTAAAGCAAGAGTCGCGATAATCGAGCTGAGAGGAGCCATGATGGACGAGGTCTCCGAGAGACTGAATACATCAATAGCAAGTTGAGATGCTCGAGCTCAAGTAGGTTCTCTCTCCAAGCTTGAGCTAACCGGTAGGGATCATCTGAAAATATCGCCGGATATGCAGGCACAGAGCGAAATCAATGCAAGGCTATTAGTCCACCCGACACGACGGCCCGCCATAAGCATAGACCCTCTTTCGGCCAATACTGGCAAACAAGATAAAGTGTACAACTCGCGTAACGTCTTCTGCATACATCCCCTAGCTTTCGCCTTGCTAGATTGAGTGCCTGGGTAGGATGGCAAGCACTTATTGGTCCGGCTATACCGTTGCATATCGTGCTGCATGATCGACGCAGTAATGGAATTGTATTGCTGATATCAGCTTCTAGGCTGTTAACATGTCTGCGTTCAAACGGTGAAGCTGTAGACACCAGGCTAATTTTACACGCATTGATCGCAGAAGGTTACGGTGTTGGATACGTCCGATGTTCGTAGGTTGCTGGAGTGATTTGAAGTGGATGAACGTCACTCATTAGCAGGTAGTTTAGTAAAAAGATCGCGATATGAAAATCCGTGGTGAATTTTCTAAAGATTCTTTACCCATATTCACCGAAAGTTCTGAAGATGCAGATACAGAAACACTTCATGCGTTGTCGATGTTTATCCGTGCTCGGTGGATGAATTTCAGCAATTTTGGGAGCCCATTGCTTCTGCGGCTTGCGCATCGACATCGAAGCTCCAACTTATGGAAGCCTGCAAAGCGCCAAAACTTTTAGAAACAGACATTTTCCATAGGCGATGGGGCGTTTAGCGCCGCTTAGCCTCAAACAAATTCATCGGTTTCGTCGACCGCCTCATCGTCTCCTACCGCGTCCTCGCCCATACCGTGAAGCAGCTCTTCGACAACAAGCGGCTCAGACTTAATCTTTGTAGCAGTGGTCGCCTTCTTGGTGATTCGCCCAGTCTTGACAGCTATATGCTGGATCAGTAAAGCAAAATAGTGAAAGAGGGTGTTCGCAAAGCGTACCGCCCTTGGGAGAACCAGCGTCGCTCTTCTTGGTGCGTGTCTTCATCGGACTCTTCACAGCGCCGTCACGGTCCCCGGCTTCATCTTTGAGCATTGTAGCTTCCTTCTTGTATCTACGCATGCGATTCTCGAGGGCGTGATAGGTCATATCCTCGCCATAGATGCGAGCAACTTCGTTAATGTTGATCTGCGCGACGCTGAGGTTAGTGTGGCTGCTGCAGGGGAATTGTGGTAGATAGTTACACGTACCTTGTTATCAAGAGAGGCAAGAGCCGCGATGAAGAGGCGCTCGAGAACGTCTTTGTCATTCCAATTGACCGGCATTTTGGCGACAGCACTGCTGATTGTCAGCAAAGGGTCAGATACGTACACGTCAGTTCGAGCACATTGGGAAAGACCTGTAACGGCGGTCTTGTATAGTTGTGATAGCTAGGAAAGGCACAGGTTGGGGTTGTGTAAACCTGTGTCGAGCTGTTGCGACGACTGCAAGGAACGCGCGCCCGTCAATCGGAGCAGTAATTAATGTGGGAACAAACTCACCTCTTGAAGATAGCGGACGGAGTTGCTCTGTAGATCAAGACGTCGTGGAATGCCCCTGTCAGCGTATTGGGGTAGTCGAATGTCCGACAATAGAAATTGCGACTGCGGATTGTCCGAGATATACGTGAGAGAAAGTGAAGTCGACGTCTAAAAACGGTGGGCCACAGCTCAGTCCACTACCCTTCTCCGCCATCACACCGCTCGCGTAGTTCCCACGATAGACGTGGTAAAGGCAAACAAATCGCTTAAGCCGCACATGGTCCACACAAGGCGATCTACTACGCGTAATACATGCGTGGAGGACAACAGATAGAACGGGCCGTCTACGAAAGCACTCAATCGGTATGATGAGATGATGATGGGAAATGGCTCCGAGGATCTAGAAATGGTTTGGCTGCGGCAGTCGTTATCGCGCTCTCAAGGAATAATGTTAAAGTCCAGAGTTTCCAAGTGGTCCTCGGCTATGACAGATCATATTTGATCAGCGTCGTAAGCTTTAGTGCATGGGTCCTGCGTGAGAACTTGACATTATCTGCTCTCCCACTATCTCGTCATCTCCTGGCCTTTTTACCTTCAGCTTTATGTCGTTTCGCCTCCTCTCTTGGGTCAATGACCAACAGCTCCTCTTCGTTCTTCCGCTTCCACTCGAGATCCTTCCCTAATCTGTCTTTTGCGAAACTCAACGAATGTGACATCCATCCCGCGTCGTCATCTGACTCCTCTTCATCCTGCTTGTCCCAGGCTTTGCAAGACTGGCAGCCTACTATGAAATGCAGGTCACATGCAGCCTCGTCTTCATCATTGGCTCCATTCGCATCTCCATTGGATTTGCCATTGGTTGCTTCCTCGGGCAGTGTTGATGTGACGGTCTTGGGGGCTGTGGTGGAGTCGGCTGATTCCAGTTTCGACTTGAATCGGGAGAGGATGTCCAGTGCAGATTGTTCGTCCTTTGCGTTGCCACCAGCCCCTCGCTTCCTTCCTCGTGTTGTGGATGTTGGCACCATGGCCTCTAATAGCGACTTCTTTTTGGCCAGCCCTGTATCTTGGGCGGAGGTGTTTCGCTTCATGGATGCCTTGAGGTCGGCGATCTGCTGGTTCACACGGTCTAGTTTCGATCGTTTCTCAGATTCAGGCGAAAGCTCGCGTGGTGGAGTTCTGGCTTTGGGCTTGGGTGGCGACCTGAGCGCGGCTTTTGGAGCGGGTTTGGGTGACGGAGACCTCGGCGGCGATTTTCGGGATGGCTTGCGTATGGGTATTTCTCTCGTCTCCTCGGGTGCTTTCGACATGGGCTTTTCCTCACCTGCACTGACCAGCTTGGTGTTGAACTTGGGCTTCTTCGCAATGGGCGCTGAGTCAGCCTCGGTTGCATCATCGCCAAAGCTGAGCACGTTCTTGCCGGCCTTCCTCTTGGGCTTCTTGGGCTTCTTCGTCTCTGGCTCTGTGCGCGCAGCCACCTGGACCCTCTTGACCATGTCCTCGAATGGGTTGATGATGATCTCGGCGCCTGTGACTTTGGTGGGATACATGGGCTGATCGTCGCTTCCGTCCCGTATCTCGGCCTCGGCCATCTTCATTAGGTTGTAGATGGTGTCGCCTGCCACCCGGCCAAACATGGTGTTCTTCTCCTGCAGCTCTGGTGTCGCCGCCAGCGTGAAGAAGAACTGGCTGCCGTTGTCGTCCTTCTTCCCCGTGTTGGCCATGCCCAGCAGGCCTCGCCTCGTGTACTTCAGCCGGCTGTGGAACTCGTCCGCAAATGGCTCGCCATCGTAGCTGCTCTCCCCGCCCTGGCCGGTGCCCGTCGGGTCGCCGCCCTGGATGATGAAGCCCTTGACCAGGCGGTGGAAGACGGTGTTGTCGTAGTAGCCATCGAGGCACAGCTGCAGGAAGTTGCGCGAGGTGATGGGCGTCTGCTTGGCGAAGAGCTCGATTTCGAGGTCGCCGGTGGTCGTGTGCAGGACGACTTTGGCGGTCGGGTTTGGCTCGAGGTTGTACGTCGTACTCATCTTGGCGGCTGGTGCTCGTTATCCAAAATGCGCCGTGGTTGCGCTCGTGGACGGTACGCGAAGTCGCGTGGAAGCTCGTGTCTCGAAAAAGTTGGCCAGTGAGAGCTGAGCAGTCTCGCACGGGCCTCGGGTAAAGGTGCCGCGACGTCATCCTGGCTTCCCTCTTTACTTCGTATTTCAGCCACACTCGCACCGTCATCTGCACTTTCACCCCTCGAGACGATGCTGATACTCTGCATATAAGACTGCTATTGCTGTCCTGCCATCTGCCCCCTGCACCACGCCATTAGTTCCTGGATCTGGCTTTTCGTCAGCTTGACAGTTGGCATCATGTTGCCCTACATCAACGCACGTACGTATCTGCCAACTAAGCACATACCAGATGTACTGACTACCGTGAAGCTTTCGAATATGTGGCCGGTATACTTGGAAACTCGGCTGATGAGCGTAAGCATTTCCAACTGTTCCGTCCATATGCCTGTTTTGCTAACCCCACCCAGTGAAGCTCGTCTTCTCTTTTTACCTGTCCTATCCCTTGGCTGCTGTCCTAAAAAGGATACCGGACAAGGATCCATGGAAGAAGAATGTTTTCGTGATAAGGTGAATCCCCTCGTCCGTAACATATCACCATCTAGTGTTAACAATGACAGCGTTTCCATGTTCTACCTTGTTGGACTATTTGACCTGTGGTCCGGCCTGCGGACCATATTCATCAGTGCCGGCGGTGCCTACCTCATCTCCTCTAAAATCCACTCCCCGTACATGCCATGGATCGGCTTTGTCTTCCTTATGGGTCACATGTCGGTGAACCACATCTACCGACAGGCCGTCAACGATCCATCTGTTTTCGACATCACAGGAGCTCAAATGGTCCTGGTCATGAAGCTCACTGCCTTCTGCTGGAACGTTCAAGACGGTCGACTTCCTGACTCTGAACTTAGCGAAGTCCAGCGAGATCACGCTATCCGGACTATGCCCAGCATTCTCGACTACATTGGCTACGTCTTCTTCTTCCCTGCTATCATGGCCGGCCCAGCTTTTGACTACGCCGACTACAGCCAATATATCACCACGACTATGTTTACCCTCCCCCCAGGCACTGATCCATCCAAAGCACCACCAACACGCAAGAAGCGTAAGATTCCTCGCAGCGGCATGCCTGCAATTACAAAAGGTGTATACGGTACTCTCTGGCTTATCGCATTCATCAAATTCTCAAGCTGGTACTATCCAGCTTTCTTCCTCGGTGACGAATACATGCAATACAACTTCTTCCGTAGGATATGGCAGCTCTATATGCTCGGCCTCACTACTCGCATGAAGTACTATGCAGTTTGGAGTTTGTCTGAGGGTTCATGCATTCTTTCAGGAATCGGCTACAACGGCCTTGATCCCAAGACTGGCCGACCCAGGTGGGACCGTCTCACCAACATTATGCCACTCGAGATCGAGAGTGCGCAGAATGCTCGCGCTTACCTTGGCTTTTGGAACATCAACACCAACAACTGGCTGAAGAACTACATGTATCTTCGAGTCACACCAAAGGGCAAAAAACCTGGCTTCAGAGCTACTCTAGCGACCTTTGTGACCAGTGCGTTCTGGCATGGCTTTTACCCAGGCTATTACCTTGCGTTCGTTCTAGCTGCATTCGTACAAACTGCTGCAAAGAGTAGGCTGCCTGTCATATGTCCAATGCGTCGTATGCTAACATATACCAGATGGCCGCCGTTTGATACGCCCACTATTCATGACGCCCGACGGAAAATCGCCACTACCCTCGAAGAAATACTACGACCTGTTTACCGTTATCCTCACACAGACTGTTTTCGCGTACGTGGTCGCACCCTTCATCCTGCTCGGCTTCTCCGATACCATAAAGGTCTGGGCAAGGGTCTACTTCTACACCCTCATTGGCGTCGCCGCATCCTTCGCGTTATTCTCGCGGTCGTTCCCTTTCCGAAAGCAGCTCGTTCAGCGCCAGTCGGCACGTACACCACAGCCCGCAGCCAACAACTTCGACGACCCTGCGATCGAGAAGGCAGCACGTGAGGAAATCCGAAGAGAAAGGCTAGCAAGGACCAACTCGGCAGATAGTGTTGCAGGCCATGCTAAGATGCCTCTCTTGGGTATTGCAGACGACCCTGAAGCAGAAATTGACGAGATAGTAGCAGAAGTCAAAGCAGAGATCGAGCAGAGGAAGAGGAGGGGTAGTGTGATGCAAGGGTTCGACGTCAAGAAAGCCGTGCAAGAGAAGCTGAAGCAGTTTAACAAAAAGGGGTAGAGCAGGATACACTTAAGGCAATACTTCAGTTACAGAAACGTATACGGGATAGGTATGAGAACGTGGCCGGTCTTGAGCTGAGCCGTTCAATATAGCCTGAATACATATGCAGTAGCAAGAGGTGGTGCGGGCTTATTTCCGAACTTTTCAATAATCGACCGGACATGACCCAGATCTTCGTGCACGTCCATTGCTCCTGCCCAACTTCAAAGACTCGGGCAGATCATACCGCCCAGGTCAACCGTTCAACCCAGCATCAGATACCGGCAACAACAGAGATTGTCACCTCACGTCGGAGGTAGCGAGTGTTGTGGATCCCAACGTGGCGTGAACTCTATTTCTGCGCCGTCGTTCGGTAGTGCCGGATTTTTGACACCGACGCCGCGTCACTCCAGCGCCACGCACGAGAGCCCCGGTGATCTGGAAGCTCCTGTCACCGAAAGTCTACTTCAACTGCCGAATTGCCATTAGGTTGACAGCCAATCTATGATCGCCGAATCACACATTACATGCGATTCTTGGAAGTTGCCAAAGGCCTAGAACGTTGACAAGTTGGTTGCGCAGATCGGTCCGACAAATCGCACAATCGATCGCGCATCCCGCTGGATCTGAGACCCCCTAGGCGCACATCCGCATGGGGCGCCAGCCGCTCAATGTCAACAACCCAACTCCGTTCATCAGGTTGCAACGCTCACTTGCAAAATCGTCATCTCCGAGGGCCAGGTACCTGGAAGGTATATCCCTGTTCAGCCTACTGTACGATCGTGTTCTTCCAAGCCTTTCTGTCCCTGCTTCAACACTTGGCTGCATTTCACTGCCGGATGGTCAGCTAACGGTGCCCCTTCCCTGGACTGGCTTAATGGCCGAGTGGTGCATTCCAAACCATTGCTAGACACGAGGAAGATGTGTAGTGTTTGCGCCACACTAGCCTGATCCGACTCCACTTCCCGAGAACATGCTTCTAGTGTTCTAATTCCAAACACGCCATGTCGCGTGTCGAGTGGACATTCTAGCATGACTACCACATTTCAGTTCCGCCCCAGGATACGGCGAATGCCGAGATGATGTACCGCCGGCTTTGGGTATGATTGGGACCGTGTTGAAAGTGCTTGAGCTGATCCTGCTGCATGGTTTTCACCCCCCACAACCCACGGTCCGTCTTTGCTTCTCTCGACGATCATTGCATGGACGCTCACTACGCATGACTGCACATTCACTTTGGCTGATAAAGATTGGTGGTCCTCCAGACTGAGCGCACTGAAATGGGTGTGCCGGACAATGGCCCTGTGATTGCTGGCGTAACATGGATGTTAACGGTGTTAAGTGGTGGCTTCTTGGGCATCAGGTTCTACGCAAAGATGAGTCGCAAACAAGGTCTTTGGTGGGATGATTACATTCTAGCCGGTTCTTGGGTATGTTGAGTTTCTGTCGTAATCACGACTTCGCTGACACTTTGCGAACAGGTCCTCCTACTGGCTCAGGCCGCCATCACCCAAGCAGGACAACAACTAGGGTTCGGGAAGCGAACAGAAGATATTCCAGTCAAATATCTCACCACAGTTGCTCTTGGCATGTCCGTTGCTGCGTCGATATCTTGTTTCGCCTCGACTTTCTCGAAGATCTCCTTTGGCGTCACTCTACTCCGCCTCACGACAGGCTACCTACGCTGGTTCGTATGGTTTTGCATCGTCACCCTCTTTCTCATAATGTTGCCAAGTGCGTTGGCCACATGGGTACAGTGCCACCCAATGGAGAAGGCTTGGAACGACACTATCCCTGGGACTTGCTGGGATCCCAGTCACTCCATCAATTATGGGATTTTCAATGCTGCATGGTGTGCTGCGGCAGACTTTGCGCTTGCGCTTTTGCCATGGTATCTTATATGGGGGTTACAGCTAAGGCTCCGCGAGAAGATTGGAGTGGGTATCGCTATGAGCATGGGTGTTTTGTGAGTGCCATTCAAATCGCCCTTCTGGTTAACGGCATCAGATTGCTAACATTGGACTTCAGATCTGGTGTTTGCGCAATCGTCAAAGGCGTATATGTAATTCAACTCGGCGAGGGGGACTTTTCCTTCAACGGCAAGGAGCTCACCATTTGGACTGCCGTCGAGACAGCGACTGCCATTATTGCCGCCTCCATCCCCATTCTCCGTGTATTCTTCAAGGAAACGATCTCTTCTTATTCGCGCTCGCATACTCGGACCAACAAAAGTGTGCCGCTGTCGAGACTAAACCAAAGTCAACACTCTGCAACTACCACGACCGTACATGCCATGGGTAAAGGAAAAGAGGGCTACTGGACCGTAATCGAAGAAAACGGAGATGACTCCAGTCAGAGAGGTATACTGGATGATGAAGAGCTGGGAAGAGTTCACCGTATGACAGCATACGAGGACGATCATATCATGCAGACGAACACGGTCACGGTGACCATCGAGAGCGATGCTCAGTCTGACCACAAAGCCAGGTCTTTTCTGGGTATAGCCCGCTGATATCCTATTTAATGGAAATTTTACTTGCAATACCTTTCCCGTTCATTCACGACTTGTCTTTCTCGTCCAATCACCACCAGCATATTCAGGGTTTGAGACTTTTTCGCCTTTCCAGAAAACCCCACGCCCGACTTTTTAGCCTTACGATATAGCAAGAAATATGATATCAGCAGCAATCCTTCCACCGATCCAAGATTCAGAAGAAGGCGATTCGTGACAGTGAAGGTGGGCAGACAAGAACGAGACTGTGCTTATAACCTTTGAACAAGAAGAGGCGACCACATGTGGGGTTCGTAATGTCCAGTTGGATGTAAAGAGCTGCATTCTTCAAAACTAAGCACCGGGCATACTGCGTTCATGGCGTATCAGTATTCACTTGGTGCCTTGATCTTGGCTCATGTTGCTCGTCTAAATCGCCTTCTCATCCCTATATTGGTCGCCGATATAGTAGTAAAGGCCATCACTACAAAGCCTCCTAGTTAACTCTTCGCACTCAACAGCAGTTCGAATATCTTCATACCATGCTGACTTTGGTCGGACCTCATTGACTAGCAAAGATATCTGCTGTCAGGTTCTAAGTGTGATAGCCTTTCTTGGATTGTTGATCCTTTGAGGGCGTCATCGTCGTCGAAGGCGGAATTGTGTTTTCGGGCTTAGTAATCGTCTTAATGTCGCGGATGTGTTCGTCGTGGAGTGCGGCCCACGCCTTTTCGAAACTGGCATGGTGGTCTCGTTCGAAAGGCCGCGACCAACATGGCTGAAGTTGGTCAACAATAGTAGCACCAGTAAACTGGCGCGAAAGTAAGTATCGCATACGTACTTACTATTGGGAGACGTGTTTTCCTGCGGAACTTATAGTCTTCCTCGTGAGGTCGGCGATAACTGGGACGAAAGTTGTAATTCCCTTGAGCGCTGCCCTTTGCTGATCAATCAGATCTCACTCGGCAAGAACCTGATCGTCCTCCAGCTTTTTCATGCCTGCTCTACACACAGCACAAGATTGACAGGAGCCGGCGTAGCTCAGGTGATGGATCATTCTAAAATGAAAATGTGCGTACATCTGCCATTTTCTGGCCGTCCACTCTAGTTGCGGTGGTCGTCAATTGCGAGGCGGCGACACTTCTCAGGCGAGCCTGCACGCCCTTTGGGTTCAAGGACGGTGCAGTGTTCTGATTTGGTTGTCAGTACGGCCAGTTGTAGCTTTCATGCCCTCCTTAGTAGGTATGATGCTGTTGATACGCTCAGTGAGTCGAGCGGCGGTTATTGCTCCTGGTGCATAAGGACGTTTTCGAGGGAACGCTGTCTGACGGTTAGCTATGTCACGTGGATAGTCGGACGGCTTATACATAGTAGTGAAGGATAGGCGAAAATGCTCCCATAGAGGTGGTTCATAATGGGGATGACATGCGGGGTTTTGGAATCCAGCTCTCGTTATTGGTTTGTGAATACAAACTTGGTTGTTGGCTACCCCTCTTACAAGTCGTAGCTGCTGCTGGTGTAAGGTCTGTCTTGAACAACAAGCAGCAACATCTTTCGTAAGTCACCGAGAGCTCGTTTAACTAGGAGTATTGAGAGACAGCGAGCGACTTGAAAGCTCCGGCTAGCTTCATCTCAATCTACTTTGCATAATCTCCATCAGCTCTCATATTGGATTGCAACCCACTCGCACTTGGCTATAAGTTTGCTTCGATAAGGTTTGCTTGAACTAGAAGTAATGCAGTGTATTTTGGACCGCCGAGTGCGCTCCGTTCCCATGGAGACAGTCGTGTGAGGCATATTCATGGATGGGTTGAGGTAAATGCCAGCGTTTTTGCACAGCGCCCCCAAAAGAACTACTGCGATATCACCCGAGTGAGTCAAGTAGAAAGATTTTTTAACGGCGCAGTTTTCAGGTGAGCATAGTCAAAGTACTCCATGATAATCTCGTCAAATATAGGCAGCGGCAGCTTTCGGTGTTGGACAATGTGGAAGACGCTAGCTGATGACTCAATCAACCAGGCGGACTGCAACTACCCTTCAAAAAACGCAACACAGCTCGATCACTATGAGAAAGCAGAAAGAATTAGTGCGAAAGCAGGTCTAGTATGCCAAATAATCTTTAAAGTATGCGGGAGGAACGGGAACGAATGTCTTATGCTTGTGTTCCTCCAATCAGATGCTATACATCATCCAGTCTACACAGCCCTCAAGCACTCATCTACGATGGTGGCCATCTGTAGGCATTCCTCATCGCGCATCTTATTCGTGAAGACCTGGATTGAGGTTGGTGCGCCGTGTACGAGCTTGGGCTCGTCTGTGCGCCGGGCATATTAGCTTGCATCTCAATACCGTGTCGAGCTAGAAGACGGCAACTTACAGTTTGGACCTACTTGACCAGCTCCAATGATCAGAGGCTCAGGATCCAGAGCGCTCGATGCTCTGCCAAACGGCAGGACACAGGCGGGATACTGCACAAGGTGTCAGTAATGCTTTTCTGACGTCTACTGATGCTTGACCTTGACTTACATCCAATACGTTTAGTAGCAACGTATACGGTGGCAACCCGTATGTATCATGCGCAACTGCAGTATTCTGCGCCGACGGTCCGATTACCGCGTCCAGTCTCTCATCCCTCCAAACTTCCCTCCACTCGTCCGCGATTGACTGCCTCTTCACATTGAGCGCTGCCAACCTCGGAATGCCTTGCAGACCCTCGCAGTCAGCCAGAAAATCACATTTGAAGGCACCAAACGCTTGCATAGCTTGAATGACTGATGGTACTAGCGGCTCACCACTAGCGGCTATATGTGCTGGGGGATCGTCGAGTCCAAAATAAGCAAACGCGAGCGCTAGCGCATTGGAGACTTGTGCGCGCGACGGCGATATTGGAACAACCTGATGACCCTTGGCTTCCAGAGCACTTACAGCTTGAGCCAGTGCTCTTTTAACCGGTGGATGTAACGGAAACGCTGGGTCTTCGGTCAAAAGACCAAACCTCAGTTTCGGCACGCTCGGCGGTACTTCCAAGTCTCTCCAGGGAACATCTAGAGCAGTGGCGTCGTACATGGCTGGTCTCATGGATAGAATTGACCGGCATAGGAGGTTCAATGCCTGGATGTCGTTTGCTATCGGTCCAGCAGAAGGTTCAAAGAAGGTCAAGCCATCTCGGACTGGAGAAGGCTGGCCACCGTATGGGATACGTTCAGTAGAAGGCTTGAAGCCATATATGCCACAGCAGAGGGACGGTATACGGATAGAGCCTGGAACTTATCAGTGGTCGTCATTGCCACAGACCCAAAGACATTCACTAACCTGCGATATCCGTTCCAATACCAAGTAGCGATCCTCGGAATGCAACAAGTGCACCTTCTCCTCCACTAGATCCTCCTGCCGTCAAAGCAGTGTTATGGGGATTCAATGTGCGTCCGAAGATGTTATTATGTGAGTCAGCCGTCTATGCAATGTTAGATCGTGATCCTTCTCAAGATCGACGGAAAAGATATGACTTGCCATAAGTGTCTGCGGGATATTAGTCTTGACATATATGACTGCGCCCAGCTCCAGCAGCATATCCACCAGCGGCGAGTTCTTTTCAGATAACTCGTGGTCCAGGAAAGAGACAAATCCGATGGTTGCCGCTGTTCCCGCAATCTGAAAACCGTCTTTGACGCTTATCGGTAAACCATGAAGGGGCCCTACGATGCGGCCGGCAGCTTTTTCACCATCGAGGAAGCGTGCTCGGTCCTGTGCTTCTGGAAAGTACGTTTCGGTAAGGCAAGAAAGCTTGGAGACTATGTTAGCAAACCTGTAAATACATCGAGAGGGGCGCAACGGACCAGCTGCTGTGCCATAGCCGCTCTTTTGGAAAAAGCTATCGTGACTTCTAGTGACGATAGAACACCCTTTCTTAGCTGTTGCAACAACTCCTCAACAGTGAATTTCTCGGTTATATTCAGCTCTTTCTCGCTCATGATGCCCGATTTTCGGGGAATGTCCATGTCGATCACCCGGTTTGGATGGTCCGAAAGCGGTGCTTGAAGCAGATTCGTGATGGATGCTGGGAGAAGCCATTCCTTTGGTATCTTGTCGCGGCAGGCTTGTTGTTTAGCAGCAACTCTGCTTCCCCATGCAGTGATAGCCATATCAAAGTGAGTAATAGAATCTGAGGCTGTAAGTTGCACTTAGGCACGAGTGATGATATGACAGTGTGCATCGGCACCCCCCTGATTATGTATATGAGTAGTACCCTCGGTTGCCGTGGAATCTAACCGAGGGCCATGAAGGTGGCATCATAATTCCGTCTGCCTGGTAACGTGATAAGGTGTTGTTATCTTGATGGTCAGTACTTACATTGGTATCATGTCTGAGCGGCATTTGTTAGCGTGCCACTACCCCACAGCCGCCAACGCCAAGCCGGGGGGTTGTTCGCTACACAATTCGTTCGATTAGGCCCGTTCACTAGCGGAAACCTGCATTCCGGGGTCGAGGATTGGGATGCGCGGACGGCAACAGAACGGAATAAACCCGCCTGAGGACTGAATATGATATATATATATGCAAGAAGTTCTGGCAAATGATAAGGATGGTAATCTTCCTGCAAGCTCTATGCCTGTAGTCGATATTCACTCGCAGTGAATCTATCGTAACCAACATCTTTCAGCAACGATGACCGACACGAATTCTCCTAGAGAGGAAGATGAAAACTTCTGGGCGCCTGGTACTATACGGCTGGAGGACAGTAAGACGTTCCGCTTGTCGCCGATAAGACGGCACACTGACAACCCACTTCCAGTGACAACACCGGCATCAGATGTCATCCTCCACCCTGTGCCTAGCTCTGATCCAGATGATCCGCTGAATTGGAGTCGACTGCGAAAAGCCATCAATTTTGGTCTAGTCGGTTTTTTCGTACTTTGGACCTTCGTACAGCTGCAAACAGGCTCAACATCCTGGGGTTCTCTCATGCGCGAACTGCACTTCTCCGTGGACCAGCTGAACAACGGAGTTGCTATGAGTTGTGCTGGACTTGCAGTCGGCTGTATGATCTTCATGCCGTTTGTACACAAGTTTGGGCGACGGCCACTTTATCTGATCAGCTCAGCGCTGCAATTGAGTTCAGTAATTTGGCAGGCCAAGACAAGGACGTACGGTGACTGGATGGGTAGCAACTTCCTTGCTGGACTTGGGGGTGCCATCAGTGAGGCTGTTGTCCAGATCACCATTGCCGATCTGTACTTTGTGCACCAACATGGAACCATGAACGCGTGGTACCTCGTCTTCACATCTGTAGGTGCATCCCTTGGCCCGGTGGCGTCTGGCTTCATAGTGGAGTCCCAGGGTTGGAGGTGGATTTGGTGGTGGTGCACAATCTTCCTGTCGTTGAACCTCGCGCTCGTGTTGCTTTTCTTCGAAGAGTCAAAGTATGTACCCGTCCTTAATGGCCGCAGTGTACACCATGGTCCTTCTAGCTCAAGTGGACCAGAAACCTTGCACGCCGATTCGGAATCGCAGAAAGTTGCAGATGTCAAAGGGGAAACCAAACACAGTAGCATGGAGCGAGTGCAATCTCGAATTGACACAACCTTGCCACGGAAAACATATCGCCAGCGCTTGGCCCTCTTTACTTCTTCCAATCAACCGATCGGCCACCACTTCTACCAGCCAGTCATAGTATTGACCACCTTTCCAGCAGTCGGTTACGCCGCTCTCACGTATGGCACGGTACTGGCGTGCTTGGCACTAATGTCTTCGTTGCAGGCAGTGTACCTGCTGCAACCGCCGTACAACTTCGGGCCATCTGGAGTAGGACTCATGAACATTGCTCCTTTTACTGGCTCGTTCCTAGGATTTTTCGCCGGCGGCTATTTGAACGACAGATCGATTATGTGGTTTGCAAGGCGAAATCGAGGAGTATACGAACCGGAAATGCGACTATGGCTTGCTCTTGCTTCGGCACTGCTGCTTCCAGCTGGAATTTTAATGTTCGGATTGGCGTTGGTGAGAGTATGTTGAGAGCTTGCGATAAACAATGCCGCATACTAACCAACCGTCAGGGCGTGCATTGGATGGTGTTAGCCGCGGGATTCGGCTTGTTCGGCTTCACCTTCGTTCTGGCCAGCGGCATCGCTCTGGCGTATGTGACAGACTGCTATCAAGAGGTGAGTCGGAAGCGTTACGCTTCTTGAGTGCACCACATTTGCTAACGACCAGATGCTCAGATTCTCGGAGACGTCATGATAGGCATCGTCTTTGTCCGTAACTTATTTGCCGTCGTCATTCTTTTCGCAGTCACGCCCTGGACAAAGGACATGGGGCTGCAAAACGTGTGTATTATTACAGCGGCCTTTTGCTTTGCGATTCTGCTGCTTCCTATCCCCTTGCTAGTCTGGGGCAAGAAAATTAGGATCGCGACGGCGAAAAGGTACAAGCGAATGGCTATGCGACAGCCAGCTCATCGAACACTTGAATAAAGTCGATGGTTGCTCGAGGAGGTCAAGCCGAGTTGATAAATGATAGTTCTCACAACGCCCAGATTCAGAAAGGCATTGAAGCATGGCAAGGCGCATTCAGCCGAGGCATACGAAGCCAAACAACGCTTGTATGTGATAGTCTCCATCGCCAGATCTGTTATTGAGGAAACCATGACACCATGTCGCTCCAATGAATTCGATCCGTGTTATCTCTGATCAACCAAAATGCTGTCAAACGTTTCTTGATCTTGGTCCGCCACGCTTTCGAAAACTCGACAACAGCATCAGTCTTTTTGAGTGCTAATTCTCTTTTAGCGGGATCGACTAACTCGAAGCAAGCGAACATGTATGGGACAGTGGCGCCTGGCACTGAGCGCCCGGTGGACTGGAGTGTCAGACGCAGCTCTTCCAGGATTGCGTTAGATATGATCGTCCCTTTTTCTACAGCCGAACCATATGGATGTCGCAGTCGGTGTGCAATGAGTAATACAGACCAACGATATAATCTGGCTTGAGCCAGTATACTGGCCACCTCCTCTTGCAAGAAGCGAGTGATATGAGCTTCAGGCATTTTTGGCTCCCACGCCTCAACAGCCATTTCGATCGCGTCTAAAGCTTGCATGATTGTAGAGATATCAACGTGCTTGTCATGACGTAGCGTACTGGTAATTGTACAGACGTCGTAGAGGTACGGTAGCATGGGCGACGCAATGCCCAAGTACCGATCCACAACGTCATCGAGCCCTCGAGCCGTGAATCGTAGAGTTGGTACCTCGCCCCGCAGGATACACTCTTCGGTCTCGGCTTGGACGAGACAAATTACGAAGGCAAGGCAATCCGGAGTAAGCTCCACTGATGATTCGTATATGGACTTGATGAGGTTGAGACTATGTCGACATATCTCTAACGCTTGTCCAGAGATATGTAGCGCAAAGGTGATTGCGCTTACCGAAAGCATCAGAATGGTAGGAAGGTCGCCGAGATCGACAGCCTTTACAGACCGCAAGGTGGAGATTGCAGAAGCTGCGCGCCTGTGGCCGATGATGCGATCCTCATGGTCGGAACCTGGCTCGTACTCGCAAGCCAAAAGAGCTGCAGTGGCCAACAACGAGTCCTGAACCCACACAGTAGCATCGTGGAGTTGTTGCGCAAAAGCTTTGTGATGGGTGATGCGAAAGCTTGAAGCAACCAAGAACTGGTCGATGCGCGTTCTTCCTTGGGAGACGCCCTTGACAAAATACATTTCCCGCTCGGTCAAGTCCGCGAGTGAAGACGGAGTCCTGGGCAGGGATGCTAAGTCCCAATCCGGCATAGCCGGGCTGGCGGCCGAGGCTGGGCATTGTGGTGATGAAGCAGCGATAGAAAGGCTGCTATCGCTCCGAACCGTGTGTAGCTGACGCTGTGTACTCTCTTCATTGCGCTGGTACCGAGGTTTGCGGCCGGCTGTCCCGACTGGTCGCAGGGTCTGACATGAGTTCTGGAGTCGGACGCATCGTTCGCACGCGTCCCGGCCAGGGATGCGCCTACATTTCTCTTTTACGATATGGCATCTGTCGCATGCTCGCCTCGCTGGTGGCCTGCCCATCGCAGACATTTGCCGGTGGATCACAGTGGATACATGTTCAGTGAACGGTGAAATGTGAACGGCACGCGGGAAGAGTCCGAAACACCGGCGGCGGTTGCTGAGTAACCGGGCCACGTGCAAGCCCTGAGGTCCTGTCGGATCGAGGTTGAGCAATATGCATTGTACAACCACCCTATTGAAAACCCATGGCTATCAGAATCACAATGTCTCATTGTCATCGTCGCAATATCTCGCCATTTACTCTACATGCTTCAACTATACAGTTCCAACACACAACCTTATCAAATCCCTCAGTGCGCATGCTCTTCACCGCATCCACAGTCGGGCCCAAAGTCACGTCGGGCCTGTCTCGCTTCTTCCTGCCATGGCTGTAGTTTTACAGTCCTTTTCTCTTCCCGTGTCCACTGTCCATGACCCTTCTTCTCATTGAGCTCAACAAGCGCATCGAGCCAAGCAGCAAGCCTGTATCCTGCCTTTGCAAGTTGCTTGGTGACGACTGGAATTGCCGTATCCCAGTACGCTCCAGATAGCTCTTGCGCGAAAACTGCATCAGGACCATCGGGTATGACAGTAGAGCAAACGAATTTGTTGGAGTCGCGCGCCCAGGTCATGGAGCTGCTTACTGCATCTTTCGCCTTCAAGCCCTTGAGCCACGTCTTGCTCTCTTTCTTGAACTTGCCATGCTTTACTTCCGCGGTGAGATTGTTGGCCAGAGCCAGAGCATTGGCCTGAGAGAAGTTGCCGTATGCCTTTTGCGGAATCGCTGTGTCCCAGATGGAGTGGAGATTTGTGCGCGCGCCGTTGAAGGTGACGTTGATGAGGTTGCCACCCACGGCGATGTTCTCTACATGTAGGGGCTGGTGAATGTCACCAACGAAGTGAACGACCCATTTGAGTGCCTTCTGCTGCTCGACGATGCCGACCGACTTCTGGAAAGCGCGGC